TGGGGTACAAATGAGCAAAATAAATAACAATATAGGGATGAGGTAGTTGGGCGGGCTAATTTCAGATGGGCTGTGTACATGTGCAGTGATCGGTAAGGTGCTCTGACAACTGATGCTTAAAGTTAGTGAGGGAGATAAGTGTCTCCAGCTTCAGAGATTTTTGCAATTTGTTCCAGTCATTGGCAGCAGAGAACTGGAAGGAATGGCGGCCAAAGGAGGTGTTGGCTTTGGGGATGACCAGTGAGATATACCTGCTGGAGCGCAGACTACGGGTGGGTGTTGCTATGGTGACCAATGAGCTAAGATAAGGCGGGGATTTGCCTAGCAGTGATTTATAGATGGCCTGGAGCCAGTGGGTTTGGCGACGAATATGTAGTGAGGACCAGCCAACAAGAGCGTACAGGTCACAGTGGTGGGTAGTATATGGGGCTTTGGAGACAAAACGGATGGCACTGTGATAGACTACATCCAATTTGCTGAGTAGAGTGTTGGAGGCTATTTTGTAAATGACATCGCCGAAGTCAAGGATCGGTAGGATAGTCCGTTTTACGAGGGCATGTTTGGCAGCATGAGTGAAGGAGGCTTTGTTGCGAAATAGGAAACCGATTCTAGATTTAACTTTGGATTGGAGATTCTTAATGTGAGTCTGGAAGGAGAGTTTACAGTCTAACCAGACACCTAGATATTTGTAGTTGTCCACATACTCTAGGTCAGACCCGTCGAGAGTAGTGATTCTAGTCGGGTGGGCGGGTGCAAGCAGCGTTCGGTTGAAGAGCATGCATTTAGTTTTACTAGTGTTTAAGAGCAGTTGGAGGCTACTGAAGGAGTGTTGTATGGCATTAAAGCTCGTTTGGAGGTTTGTTAACACAGTGTCCAATGAAGGGCCAGATGTATACAAAATGGTGTCGTCTGCATAGAGGTGGATCTGAGAGTCACCAGCAGCAAGAGCGACGTCATTGATATACACAGAGAAAAGAGTCGGCCCAAGAATTGAACCCTGTGGCACCCCCATAGACTGCCATAGGTCCAGACAACAGGCCCTCCGATTTGACACATTGAACTCTATCTGAGAAGTAGTTGGTGAACCAGGCGAGGCAGTCATTTGAGAAACCAAGGCTATTTAGTCTGCCAATAAGAATGCGGTGGTTGACAGAGTCGAAAGCCTTGGCCAGGTCAATGAAAACGGCTGCACAGTACTGTCTATTATCGATCGCGGTTATAATATCGTTTAGGACCTTGAGCGTGGCTGAAGTGCACCCATGACCAGCTCGGAAACCGGATTGCATAGCGGAGAAGGTACGGTAGGATTCGAAATGGTCGGTGATCTGTTTGTTGACTTGGCTTTCAAAAATGTTTGAAAGGCAGGGCAGGATGGATATGGGCAGACACTGGAATGAAGGCTTTGCATAGGCGCTTTGTTGCAAAAAAAAATGCCTGGAACGTAAAATAACGTTATTAACCAGTTCCCATGCTTTTAAAATAACGGTTCTATTCCGGAACAGTATAAATTACTTTTGTTCTCGGTTCTGATTTTGTACCTAGAAAATTTGTTGTTTTCGGTTCTGTTCCCTGAACCGGTTCCAACCCCTGGTTTTAAAGTTCAAAACGAACGTCTGGACTCTTAACAAAAGTCCCCCGGCCAGAAAATACTATCATCAATAGGCACTAAAGGTACAGTGCATTCGGGAAGTAATCAGACCCCTTGACTTTTTACACATTTTGTTACGTTACAGCCTTATTCTAAAATTGATTCAATTGTTTTTTCTTCATATATCTACTCACAATACCCCATAATGATAAAGCAAAAACAGGTTTTTAGAATTTTTGCAAATTTATTAAAAATAAAACACTTATCACATTTATATAAGTATTCAGACCCTTTACTCAGTAATTTGTTGGAGCACCTTTGGCAGCTTTGAGTCATCTTGGGTATGACGCTACAAGCTTGGCACTCCTGTATTTGGGGAGTTTCTCCCATTCTTCTCTGCAGATCCTCTCAAGCTCTGTCAGGTTGGATGGGGAGCGTCGCTGCACAGCTATTTTCAGGTCTCTCCAGAGATGTTCGATTGGGTTCAAGTTCAGACGTGACGCTTGGCATTCAGGCCAAAGAGTTCAATCTTGGTTTCATCAGACCAGAGAATCTTGTTTCTCTTGGTCTGAGAGTCCTTTAGGTGCCTTTTGGTAAACTCCAAGCGGGCTGTCATGTGCCTTTTACTGAGGAGTGGCTTCAGTCTGGCCACTCTACCATAAAGGCCTGATTGGTGGAGTGCTGCAGAGATGGTTGTACTTCTGGAAGGTTCTCCTATCTCCACAGAGGAACTCTGGAGCTCTGTCAGAGTGACCATTGGGTTTTTGGTCACCTCCCTGACCAAGGCTCTTCTCCCCCCGATTGCTCAGTTTGGCCGGGCGGCCCACTCTAGGTCTTGGTGGTTACAAACTTCTTCCATTTAAGAATGATGGAGGCCACTGTGTTCTTGGGGACCTTCAATGCTGCAGAAATGTTTTGGTACCCTTCCTCAGATCTGTGCCTTGACACAATCCTGTCTCGGAACTCTACAGACAATTCCTTCGACCTCATGACCTTATATAGACAGGTGTGTGCCTTTCCAAATCATGTCCAATCAATTGAATTTACCACAGGTGGACTCCAATCAAGTTGTAGAAACATCTCAAGGATGATCAATGGAAACAGGATGCACCTGAGCTAAATGTCGAGTCTCATAGCAAAGGGTCTGAATACTTATGTAAATAAGGTATTTCTGTTTTATTTGCAAACATTTCTAGAAACGTGTTTTCGCTTTGTCATTATGGGGTATTGTTTGTAGATCGATGAGGATATAAAAAAAAAATCCATTTTAGAATAAGGCTGTAACGTAACAAAATGTGGAAAAAGTCAAGGGGTCTGAATACTTTCCGAATGCACTGTAGTTAGCGTCTATGTTTACATATCTTGCACTACTCATCTCAGATGTATATACTGCATTCTATTCTATAATATTATTCTGTATCTTAGTCCATGCCACTCTGTCCTTGCTTGTACATATACAGTGGGGAGAACAAGTATTTGATACACTGCCGATTTTGCAGGTTTTCCTACTTACAAAGCATGTAGAGGTCTGTAATTTCCAGAAAATCACATTGTATGATTTTTAAGTAATGAATTTGAATTTTATTGCATGACATAAGTATTTGATACATCAGAAAAGCAGAACTTAATATTTGGTACAGAAACCTTTGTTTGCAATTACTGAGATCATATGTTTCCTGTAGGTCTTGACCAGGTTTGCACACACTGCAGCAGGGATTTTGGCCCACTCCTCCATACAGACCTTCTCCAGATCCTTCAGGTTTCGGGGCTGTCGCTGGGCAATACGGACTTTCAAAGCTCCCTCCAAATATTTTCTATTGGGTTTAGGTCTGGAGACTGGCTAGGCCACTCCAGGACCTTGAGATGCTTCTTACGGAGCCACTCCTTAGTTGCCCTGGCTGTGTGTTTCGGGTCGTTGTCATGCTGGAAGACCCAGCCCCGACCCATCTTCAATGCTCTTACTGAGGGAAGGAGGTTGTTGGCCAAGATCTCGCGATACATGGCCCCATCCATCCCCTCAATACGGTGCAGTCGTCCTGTCCCCTTTGCAGAAAAGCATCCCCAAAGAATGATGTTTCCACCTCCATGCTTCACGGTTGGGATGGTGTTCTTGGGGTTGTACTCATCCTTCTTCTTTCTCCAAACACGGTGAGTGGAGTTTAGACCAAAAAGCTCTATTTTTGTCTCATCAGACCACATGACCTTCTCCCATTCCTCCTCTGGATCATCCAGATGGTTATTGGCAAACTTCAGACGGGCCTGGACATGCGCTGGCTTGAGCAGGGGGACCTTGCGTGCGCTGCAGGATTTTAATCCATGACGGCGTAGTGTGTTACTAATGGTTTTCTTTTCGTCCCAGCTCTCTTCAGGTCATTGACCAGGTCCTGCCGTGTAGTTCTGGGCTGATCCCTCACCTTCCTCATGATCATTGATGCCCCACGAGGTGAGATCTTGCATGGAGCCCCAGACCGAGGGTGATTGACCGTCATCTTGAACTTCTTCCATTTTCTAATAATTGCGCCAACAGTTGTTGCCTTCTCACCAAGCTGCTTGCCTATTGTCCTGTAGCCCATCCCAGCCTTGTGCAGGTCTACAATTTTATCCCTGATGTCCTTACACAGCTCTCTGAAAGTCTGTATTGCCCAGCGACAGCCCCGAAACCTGAAGGATCTGGAGAAGGTCTGTATGCAGGTGTGGGCCAAAATCCCTGCTGCAGTGTGTGCAAACCTGGTCAAGACCTACAGGAAACGTATGATCTCTGTAATTGCAAACAAAGGTTTCTGTACCAAATATAAAGTTCTGCTTTTCTGATGTATCAAATACTTTTGTCATGCAATAAAATGCAAATTAATTACTTAAAAATCATACAATATGATTTTCTGGATTTTTGTTTTAGATTCCGTCTCTCACAGTTGAAGTGTACCTATGATAAAAATTACAGACCTCTACATGCTTTGTAAGTAGGAAAACCTGCAAAATCGGCAGTGTATCAAATACTTGTTCTCCCCACTGTATGTATATATTCTTAAATCCCATTCCTTACTTATTTGTGTGTATTGGGTATATGTTGTGTAATTGTTAGATATTACTGCACTGTCAGAGCTAGAAGCACAAGCATTTCGCTACACCCGCTATAACATCTGCTAAACACGTGTATGTGACAAATAACATTTGATTTGGTTACACCAAACAGTACCTAACCTGTAACTCCCAGTAATGGATACCAAAAATCTTTGATTAAATCACATTATCTGGTGTAACAATCTGTAACTATGTTGTTACTAGTGTAATGTTTAGGTTAACTTAGCTAGCTAGCTAGCTACTGTATTTTAAATGTATTTTGTGCTATTAGCTGGTCTCTGGTTTTGTTATCATTGATTTCCCGTTGTTTTTAAAAGGTGCCTCATTCATTATGTCCTCGGATGACCTTCTTGCACAGAGGGAGAAAATCGAGCGCCAGATTCTGGCGCTCGAGCGAAACCTTGGTCCGGAAAGCAATTCCGGCATTGAACTACTATCTTCAGACAGTTGTGCATCTGGTGGGTATCTAAAGCATGCTATTAAAGTCAGGTTGAGTAAAAAAATAAAAATAAAGCTTTCTTGGACTCAGGGATGTATCCTTGGGATTAGATGGGGGGGTAAAGTTGCTTCTACATCATTGTTGCAGTGGGGTTCTATAGAGGGGAGACCCTGACTCCTGCTCTAATCATAGAATACAATGTAGTCTCCACAACTCCTTGGCTGGCTTCCTAAATCTGTTATTTGTTTTCACTGTTGTCAGATGATGGATCAGACGACAATGCTTCTCAACCAGAAGATTTGGTAAGACTCATTGACATCACCAATAGTACCTTGTGACCATGATTTATTTCAGGTGAATTGAGAAATAATGTCAACCTGCTCTTCTAGGGTCCTCCGGGGAACCTGGAGGCAGAGCGGGAGCGTATACAGAGAGAGATTGAAGCGTTGGAGCGCACTCTTGGCCCTGGTGTATCTAATGCTGAGATTATGTCAGGTAGCTATGGCCCTTGCCTTGTGTTGTTTCAACAGGTTATTCGTTATTTCGACAGGTTATGCATTGTTTCATGGATTTAAGTTTTCCTGCTAGTATACATTTATACCGTGTGTGTGTGACCCCTTTTATAATGTGTTGAAACAGATGTGGATGGCCAAGGAAGTGCAACAGAATCGGTTAGTATTGATTAGCATTTTCGCAATTCTAACACTCCAGTTTAACACAGTATGTGAAGGAAAGTTACTGTAACATGGCCTTGCTCTCTCCTTTCTCCCACATCTGGTAGAGCGAAGAGGACAGTGCTGAGGAGCTGAACCTACCCCAGAACACAGATACATGTCTGCAAATGAACCTGGTTTATCAGGAAGTGTTGAAAGAGAAATTAGAGGAGCTGGAGCGACTGTTAACAGACAATCAACAGCAACAAGTAAGAGACCAATAAAAGCCTACAGCTTATCTTAAAGGTGCAGTCTGAAATCTGTTCAATTAATATTTTCACGTTTTTGCTCTGAGCTGTGCAATGTCCATGCGATGTAATAATTTCTGTCCGTCTTTCCCTACAGAAAGAGATTATGTCTCAGCTGTCTGGCACAGGAACTCCCCAGGCTACCACATCTGGACAACCCACACTGAAGCTTTTCTTGGGGAGCTTTCTGAAGCCCTATTTCAGAGATAAAGTCACATTTCTGGTAGGGATGAGTGCGGATTCAGTACAATATGAGCAGGGCAAGTGGTTATACCTACATGATTTTACATTGCCTCTCTAATTCCCACAGGGCCCACCCGCTAATCCAGAAACCAGGGAGAAGATGAGTAAGAGGATCAGACCTACTGACGACGTCAAGATGAAAAGATGTGAGTCTAAAAAATAATGTGACAACACATCACCATTATCGGAGAGTGACATATGTGGTGTCTTGGTGACTGTTAAATTCATGATTTTGATTTTTCAGGGGAGGGGTGGCAGAAGACTCTGCTGATAAATGCTGTAGTCAAAGACAGCATGAAACGCATGATACAGCCCAAGCTGTCCAAGTAAGTAAATGGTGATTGTTTTCCCCTGAAGAGTATCTTTGCAGAGTATCTTTAATCATGCATATTATCCTATTAAATGGATTTTGAAATGGGAATGTCTTATTTGCTCCTGTGCTTTTCAAAATGTAGCAAAACTTCATATTTTTACACAGTTTTATGAAATGTAGGTAACATCTTTAAGGATTGGTGTTGACCCAATGGCCTTCATGAATGACATGATTTTCGTCTCATAGGGTGGAATACCTTACACAGAAAATGGCCAAAGCTGAAAACATAGAAAAGCTAATCCTGCGGAAACAAATCACTGAAATTGAAAAGGACATTGAGGCCATCAGGTGATTACCATCATAACTATTTTACGGGAAATAACGATCTAGCCATTTAATTCCAAGATGACACCGGTTATCATGTCAGACAGGTCTGTTTTGTGTTCGTTCTCACTTTACATGAAGAGATTGAATTGTTCAATTGTATTGCATTGTAATGTTCATAGACTCCAACTTAGACTAGTATCTGAAGCCTTTTGTGGTTCCTGAGTGAAACCATTGCTATATAACTGTTGCCGGATCTGCTTTCCCTTGCAGTGCACTGAAGGAGGATGAGCTGCTGGCTGGCCGCTATGATGACCATGACTGGCAAAAGATTTCCAATATTGATGTGGGTTGAGTAACTGCTGTCATCTCCTCCATTCATATCTTTTTCCTATTGTTAAAAAGGTGTAAATGTGGAGGCTAACATCTTATTCCTATCCAGTTTGAAGGCATCCGTGAAGCTGAGGACATAAAAAGCTTTTGGCAGAACTACCTGCATCCCTCCATTAACAAAGCCAGTTGGAAGGAAGACGAAATTGAGATGCTCAAGAAAGTTGCTGTGAAATATGGGCACCACAACTGGGATCAGATTGCTGGTAAACTTGGGGTAAGAGCAGACAATATTGGTCAAATAGCCTTATCATGATCATTACGCCCTCCTATCGGTGGGATCCAGAGGTGATATTTCTAGTCCTGATTTGTACAGTTTGATTGATCGATTTGACTTTTTTTTTTTAGAGAAGTGCCTGATACTGAACCGTTACATTTCTCGGTAGTAGGTAGATCAAGTGTAATTCCCTGAACGTCTTAACATGACCAATTTCTTTGAATGTGTAAACTATTCAGTGTTATCCATTCTGAACTCATGTCCTCTCCCCTGTCTGTCACACACAGACCAACAGGACAGCCTTCATGTGTCTCCAGACATACCAGCGCTACATCTGCACCGACTTCAAGAGGAGGATGTGGGGCAGAGTGGAGGACGAGATCCTTAGAGAGCTGGTGGAGAAAATGCGAATAGGGAACTACATCCCTTACACCCAGAGTAAGTCCCCACCACCCAATGTACAACCTGGCTTTTACTCATTACCTATGTTATTGTTGGTGCACATCAATGACAGTTGTTGTTGTTGTCCCCAGCTTATGCTCCTGTAAGAGCATAAACTGATAACTGATGATAATGTCTGCACTCACTACTGTAAGTCACTCTGGATAAGAGCGTCTGCTAAATGACTCAAATGTAAATATACAGTGGGGGAAAAAAAGTATTTAGTCAGCCACCAATTGTGCAAGTTCTCCCACTTAAAAAGATGAGAGAGTCCTGTAATTTTCATCATAGGTACACGTCAACTATGACAGACAAAATGAGAAAAGAAATTCCAGAAAATCACATTGTAGGATTTTTAATGAATTTATTTGCAAATTATGGTGGAAAATAAGTATTTGGTCAATAACAAAAGTTTCTCAATACTTTGATATATACCCTTTGTTGGCAATGACACAGGTCAAACGTTTTCTGTAAGTCTTCACAAGGTTTTCACACACTGTTGCTGGTATTTTGGCCCATTCCTCCATGCATATCTCCTCTAGAGCAGTGATGTTTTGGGGCTGTCGCTGGGCAACACGGATTTTCAACTCCCTCCAAAGATTTTCTATGGGGTTGAGATCTGGAGACTGGCTAGGCCACTCCAGGACCTTGAAATGCTTCTTACGAAGCCACTCCTTCGTTGCCCGGGCGGTGTGTTTGGGATCATTGTCATGCTGAAAGACCCAGCCACGTTTCATCTTCAATGCCCTTGCTGATGGAAGGAGGTTTTCACTCAAAATCTCACGATACATGGCCCCATTCATTCTTTCCTTTACACGGATCAGTCGTCCTGGTCCCTTTGCAGAAAAACAGCCCAAAAGCATGATGTTTCCACCTCCATGCTTCACAGTAGGTATGGTGTTCTTTGGATGCAACTCAGCATTCTTTGTACTCCAAACACGACGAGTTGAGTTTTTACCAAAAAGTTCTATTTTGGTTTCATCTGACCATATGACATTCTCCCAATCCTCTTCTGGATCATCCAAATGCACTGTAGCAAACTTCAGACGGGCCTGGACATGTACTGGCTTAAGCAGGGGGACACAGCAGGATTTGAGTCCCTGGCGGCGTAGTGTGTTACTGATGGTAGGCTTTGTTACTTTGGTCCCAGCTCTCTGCAGGTCATTCACTAGGTCCCCCCGTGTGGTTCTGGGATTTTTGCTCACCGTTCTTGTGATCATTTTGACCGCACGGGGTGAGATCTTGCGTGGAGCCCCAGATCGAGGGAGATTATCAGTGGTATTGTATGTCTTCCATTTCCTAATAATTGCTCCCACAGTTGATTTCTTCAAACCAAGCTGCTTACCTATTGCAGATTCAGTCTTCCCAGCCTGGTGCAGGTCTACAATTTTGTTTCTGGTGTCCTTTGACAGCTCTTTGGTCTTGGCCATAGTGGAGTTTGGAGTGTGACTGTTTGAGGTTGTGGACAGGTGTATTTTATACTGATAACAAGTTCAAACAGGTGCCATTAATACAGGTAACGAGGGGAGGACAGAGTAGCCACTTAAAGCAGAAGTTACAGGTCTGTGAGAGCCAGAAATCTTGCTTGTTTGTAGGTGACCAAATACTTATTTTCCATCATAATTTGCAAATAAATTCATTAAAAATCCTACAATGTGATTTTCTGGATTTGTTTTTTCTCAATTTGTCTGTCATAGTTGACGTGTACCTATGATGAAAATTACAGGCATCTCTCATATTTTTAAGTGGGAGAACTTGCACAATTGGTGACTGACTAAATACTTTTTTTCCCCACTGTAAATGCAAAGCTCTCAGGATACTGTCCACTGCTCTACTCTACTGATTTGTCTCTGTAGAAAAAGTGCTTGTTCAATATAAGATACTGTAGCTTGTCATGGTAGTGCGTCATGTGTTGGGTTCTGGTAATTCAACTTGCTTTCTCCATGATTTCTGTTGTACTCCAGTCTCCTATTTCATGGAGGGCCGGGATTCATGCCAGCTGATGTATCGGTGGACTCAGGTTCTGGACCCCACCCTCACGAAAGGCTATTGGTCTAAAGAAGAAGATGAGGTATGGGCAGGAGGGTCTTTAGCTTTTTTTGTTGGAAATAGTGTCTTTAGCTTCATCAAATCTGTTTCAAGGACCTTTTGCGATGTCCCCATATTTACAGTATAGGTGTTTGATAATATAAGTTGTGCTCCGATTTTTGGTTGTTGTTGCAGATGCTACTGAGAGCAGTGGCTAAACACGGGGTGGGGAACTGGTGGAAGATCCGTCAGGATGTGCCTGGCAGAAATGATGGCCAGTGTAGGGACAGGTGAGGACTAATATTGACTCTGATCGATTGGGCCAACGCATTAACCAAACTCTCACGACATTCACTGACAGTCTCCCTGATGGCCACCCTATTCTAGATCAAAAAATCTACCAGCCACTCAGATGTTTTGGTAACACTTTACTTGACACCCAGGGTCATAACACGTTATGACACGCTCATAACTATGTCATAATATTTCATAACAGCTGACATAACTTGTCATAACCTGTCATAATAGGGTCATAACACTGTCATGACCCATATATTTACACCTGTTGTGACATATATTGCGTTATGTTATGGCTGGTTATGACACCTGCCAAAAGTTTCCTTTCGTTTGAAAGTTTGTTTCTTAAGTCCTTTGTTATTGTAATTAATAATTTAGTCCCGCCCCAAAATTCATCATATTTTAAATAACTTGCAGAGAATACACTTTATGATACTGTCATGAAGCATTATGACCATCCTGTGTCACTTCACTTGGACTAAGAAAATACACTTTGACACTGTCAAAAAGCATTTAGACCATCATAATCATATAAGCCAGATAAGCCTTTCACGTACATGCCCTTATGTCAGACAAAAAGAGGGTGTCTTGTCCTGCTCCTGAAATCATCCCAGTCATCAGCAACAGAGCATTGGGGTAGGTGCATGTCTGACATCGATTTGTGTGAAATTACAATGATCATTTAATATGGTAAATTTCTGAAAATGTTATATAACATAAACATATTGTTGACAAGTAGGCTATGGTGAAATGGAATGTTTTGCCTTGTGTGGTAGGTTTTGTAGGTTTTGACAATCTTATGTATGTGTCATAACCAGCCACTCGTCTCCCGAGTGGCACAGTGGTCTAAGGCACTGCATCGCAGTGCTAGCTGTGCCACTAGAGATCCTGGTTCGAATCCAGGCTCTGTCGTAGCCGGCCTTGACCGGGAGACCCATGGGGCGGCGCGCAATTGGCCCAGCGTCGTCCAGGGTAGGGGAGGGAATGGCCGGCAGGGATGTAGCTCAGTTGATAGAGTATGGTGTTTGCAACGTCAGGGTTGCGGGTTCGATTCACACAGGGGGTATGAAAAAATAAATAATGTATGCACTAACTAACTGTAAGTCGCTCTGGATAAGAGCGTCTGCTAAATGACTAAAATGTAAATGTAAAATAAAATAATGCAATATGTCACAACAGGTCTAAATATGTGTAATGAAAGTGTTATGATCATATTATGACAAGTTATGTTGCTGTTATGACATTATGACATGCTTATGACTGTCATAACGTGTTATGACGCTGGGTGTCAAGTAAAGTGTAACTGTTTTTTTTTTTCTTCCCCCAGACAAAATATACTTTTTTCAGCTGAAATTACACCAACAAAACACACAAAAATGGATGAGCATGCTTTGTAATGTTTCTAAAACAAATGTATTACTAGTAAGACGTAACGTGGTATATTGTTTAATTTCATTTCTTGGTGACCGGAGTCTTTCAACCAAAATGTCACAGAAAATGAGGTTACCATGGTAGCGCGACTCCAGTCATGTTTGTGCCTGTGAGATTGAGTCTGACTAGTAGAAGCGTTGTCTTCTCTTCCCTAGCAGTTGAAACTCAAACATAGAAAAACAACCTAGCTTGTGAACAAAACAATGTAAATAGCCAAGAAACACAAGGACAAAGTCTCACTTCAGTAGAATTTAGTTTCAAGTAAATTAGACCAACTTTTATGCCTATGTGCAGCGCTTCTAGAAATTAATGTTTCACTCTGCTCTTTACATGCACACAGCCCCCAGCCAGGCAGTGTTGCAGCGCGAGGTGGAATAGGCTATATAGGATTCCTAGTTTGACTTTGTGCGACTAATTTACCAGCTATGAAACAAAGCGGCAAAAATACTTTGAAAACAACTACTGCAGCATTTATTTGACTACAAATGTGATCATACTTGACTATTTTTATTCACAAATGCAAGTGAAATGCTCGCACTGTGGAGCCCTGACCACCCGCCAACATGGCTGGTGAAATGGACATCTTACACACCAATGCCAAAATCTACCCGCATTTGGCAGGTGGCGGGTGTTAATCTTTGGCCCTGCAGCCATGGTATATCAGATCTTATATCACGGTATGACAAAACATTTATTTTTACTGCTCTAATTACTTTGGTAACCAGTTTATAATAGCAATAAGGCACCTCAGGGGTTTGTATTATATGGCCAATATACCATGGCTAAGGGCTGTATCCAGGCACTCCGCGTTGCGTCATGTGTAAGAAAAGCCCTTAGCCATGGTATATTGGCCATATACCACACCCCCTGGGGCCTTATTGCTTAATTAGAACATACTGTCACTGACAAACCGTTGTTCCATTCTGTAGGTACGTGGACGTCCTGATTGGGAACGTGAAGAAGGGGCCCTTTGACGAGGAGGAAAAGGCGCAACTCAGACGATTGGTGGAGAAATATGGATGTAGGAACTGCTATAGAAAGCTGACTCGCACAGAAACTATATCAAAAATAATCAGGTTACCTTTCTTGATAATGGTCTAACAGTTTATTTTGTCCTTTTTTTAATAGGTAAATGGTCTAAGATAGCTGCAGAAATGCCTAACAGAATTGACTGCCAGGTCCTTCAACAGTGGAGGAGAATGAGTGGGTACAAGGTGAGTGTTGACTATGTAGCCTTATTGTCCTTCTCAACTCAATCTGTGACACTGGACACAGTTCATTACTCTCTTGTTTTTGTAAATAGCCCAAACCTCGGAGGGACAGAAGGAGAAGAGGATTGCAGAGAAAGGCAGTGGCTGTGAGGAGCATCAAGAGTAGGCTGAAGAGGCTAGACGATGATGTGCACTCAAGCTCCGATGAAGAGGAGAGCGTCAAGATGGAATTTATGGACAGTGACGATGAGAAGAAAGAGAAGTTATTTGAACTGTACGGGTCTGATCAGGAAAGTGACATTTTCGAAGACTACACCCAACCAGACATGGAGCAATGGATCCCCATGCCAGAGAAGCAGTTTGAAGGGCCGGGGATGTTGAGGAGCATGATGGTTGAACGGCCCAGCGAGGACACAACGCAAGAGCAGGAAGTGACGGACAGCCATGCCGCAGCACGCAAGTTCATGGTGGTACGCTCTACCGTCCTGGACCGCTTTGGCAAGCCTGCTGCCACTGTCATTGGACAAAACCCCCCAATCCTGGCAAAGAAGGTACTGGCATTTATTTATAAACAGTCATGTGATTCGTTGCACCATTATGTGTATAGCTTATACAGATTTTGAACACCCGTCCCTAGATGAGCCTTTATGAAGTTGTCAACCTAAAATGTATGCAACCATTGTCATTTTGTTCCCAAATACCACCATCATCATAAAGCAGAGACTAGATCTGCATCAGTACCCATAGCTACATATTTACTTAATCGGAGTGCATCACAGAAGGGGATCACTAGGCAGTTAACATTAATAAACATTCAATCATTCATCAGCTGTGTAGCTCATTTAAAGTGAGTCTCTTTGTTTATGAACTCTGAAATATGATTATTATTTTAGAATATGTAGTAAAGTTAGCTGGCTAACCCATTGATTCCTGCTTTGTGACGTAAGTAAAGCAGCGTGTGACATTCTCTGTATGTGTTCCTTCTAAAGGATTACAACAGTGACCTGGCCATGCTCAAGGTGTGCTATGGAGAGGTGAGAAACCTGATTGCTTGGAAGAAAACAAATGCCACAAAACATGTAAGTCGCCAGGGGACACACATTTTTTTGCCTCTCTTATTTATGTGGTGAAACAGGTGTTTCAATTGCTTTTTATCCCAAACAAAGATGATTCCAGTGGATACATTTTTGTTCATTTGTCAGAATAGATTTAGTGAAAATGATATATATTTTTAAAGGAAGTGACACAGATTGAGCTTTGTTAATACAGATGTCTTCTCCTTGTAATGCCTGTGACGCATGTCTTCTGTTTTCTGTCCCATGTAAATGTCTGCAGAAAAACAGTGGGTCTACGAGCGGAGACCAGGGGAAGCCCCACAATTCCTCAAGGCAAAAGGACTCCTCTGCCAACAGTGAAACCTACACAACTCTCAACTATTCCCTTCAGTTGGCAGTCACTCCCTGGGTGGGCAATGTGCTTATGCCCCCACCAACCTCTTCAAACAAGCTCCGTGAAGGTACTTTACGAGTTGTCACAGGCAATACGTCCCAACTTCTCTCACTTGTAGAAAAGTAAAATGAGCATTCTTGTTGTTACATAATGGGTTTTGGAAGACTGAACCAAGGACTTGACTTGATCGAGAGTTATATACAGTAAGTGTACAAAACATTAGGAACACCTGCTCTTTCCATGCCATAGACTGACCAGGTGAAAGCTATGATCCCTTATTGATATCACTTGTTAAATCCACTTCAGTCAGTGTAGATGAAGTGGAGGAGACAGGTTAAAGAATGATTTTTGAGACATGGATTGTGTATGTGTGCCATTCAGAGGGCAAGACAAAATATTTAAGTGCCTTTGAATGGGGTATGGTAGTAGGTGCCAGGCACACTGGTTTGTGTATCAACAACTGCAACGCTGCTGGGTTTTTCTCACTCAACAGTTTTCCGTGTGTATCAAAAATGGTCCACCACACAAAGGACATCCAGCCAACTTGACACAACTGTGGGAAGCATTGGAGTCAACATGGGCCAGCATCCCTGTGGAACGCTTTTGACACTTTGTAGAGTCCATGCCCTGACGAATTGAGGCTCTTCTGAGGGCAAAAAGGGGGGTGGAACTCAACATTAGCAAGGCGTTCCTAATGTTTTGTGAACTCAGTGTATATAGAGAGTTGGGCCAGGTTTTAGAACGGCTGCCATGTTAGCGCCTTTATTCTAGACATTTTGGTGACGTAACAATACAAGAGCGCCTCCAACAGTTCCCTATGGAATGACCCGCTGTAAACAAGCAGAACAGAGCAACGAATTTCATTTTTATTGATTAGCATTTGGGATGATGTGTATCCAAGTCTGTACTGTGTTGTGGTGTCAACAAATTGCATATCTGCTTTCACTGGACGTCTTCATAGGTTTGAAAACTATCAGAAATAAACAGCACAATGCAGAAGCTTCACTTATCACTTAGCAATGGCTATGGAGGAGAAAAGTGCTGGCCCATGTTAATTCCAATGCTTCCCACAGTTATGTCAAGTTGGCTGGATGTTCTTTGGGTGGTTGGACCATTCTTGATACACACGGGAAACTGTTGAGCATGAAAAACCCAGCAGCGTTGCAGTTCTTGACACAAACCGGTGCGCCTGGCACCTACTACCATACTCCGTTCAAAGGCACTTAAATATTTTGTCTTGCCCATTCACCCTCTTAATGTCACACATACACAATCCATGTCTCAATTGTCTTAAAAATCCTTCTTTAACCCGTCTCCTCCATCCTCCTTCATCTATACTGAATGAATTGTATATAACAAGTGACATCAATAAGGGATCATAACTTTCACCTGGTCAGTCTATGTCATGGAAAGAGCAGGTGTTCTTAATGTTTTATATAGTCAGTGTATATGACTCTAAATGTATCCTACTTTCTCTTGTTTTTGTAGCGGACATGGTACGAGAGAGATCAGAGAGCATTGGACTCACCAAGACCCCAGTGTTCTTGTTCTTTCTGCAGGTAGGGAATGAACCCATAAAGGCAAAGTTTTATATGAATGAGCACAATTATGCCATTATGTTAGTTGGGTTTTACTTACGGATGCAAGCACCTAGGCCTATGCAGAAATTCTGGCATGTATTCTAATGCTGATAGACAGGCACGAATTACCTCAAGCTACATATCAACAACATATGTTCTTTATTGGCATATCAAGAGCACATGACTAGCTATTATGGTACACAATTAATGCATCATAACATCAGTCCAGAATATCAGAAAAGGGTTAACTGATAATAATGCCATATTTTGAATCCAGTGTCAGCCGATCCTGATCATATGAACATTATATAATGCATTTTCTAATGTGATCTGAAACAGGTCCTCCGTGTAGATGCTGAGGGCTGTAAGCAGATAATTAAAATGCGTAACAAACAAGTGAGTATAATTTACTACACTATAAACAAAAAGTCCTCATACTTTACAACCTTTACACAGTTTTATGTTTTTGCATGTATAATAATTGCTACTTACGGTGCATTCGGAAAGTATTCAGACCCCTTGACTTTTTCCACATGTTGTTATGTTACAGCCTTATTCTAAAATGGATTAAATAAAACATTTCCCTAATCAATCTACACACAATACCCCATAATGACAAAGCAAAAACAGGTATTTAGAAATTGTAGCAAATTTACATAAGTATTCAGACCCTTTTTTTATGCGACGCGAAGTTGACCTCAGGTGAATCCTGTTTCCATTGATCATCCTTGATGTTTCTACAACTTCATTGGAGTCCACCTGTGGTAAATTCAATTGATTGGACATTATTTGGAAAGGCACACACCTGTCTATATAAGGGTCCACAGTTGACAGTGCATGTCAGAACAAAAATCAAGCCATGAGGTCGAAGGAGTTGTCCGTAGAGCTCCGAGACAGGATTGTGTCGAGGCACAGATCTGGGGAAGGGTACCAAAACATGTATGCAGCATTGAAAGTCCCCAAGAACACAGTGGCCTCCATCAATCTTAAATGGAAGACGTTTTGAACCACCAAGACTCTTCCTAGAGCTGACCGCCCGGCCAAACTGAGCAATCGGGGGAGAAGGGCCTTGGTCAGGGAGGTGACTAACAACCTGATGGTCACTCTGACAGAGGTCCAGAGTTCCTCTGTGGAGATGGGAGAACCTTCCAGAAGGACAACCATCTCTGCAGCACTCCACCAATCAGGCCTTTATGGTAGTGGCCAGATGGAAGCCACTCCTCATTAAAAGGCACATGACAACCCGCTTGGAGTTTGCCAAAAGGCACCTAAAGGACTCTCAGACCATGAGAAACAAAATTCTCTGGTCTGATGAAACCAAGATTGAACTCTTTGGCCTGAATGCCAAGCGTCACGTCTGTAGGAAACATGGCACCATCCCTACGGGGAATCATGGTGGTGGCAGCATCATGCTGTGGGGATGTTTTTCAATGGCAGAGACTGGGAGACTAGTCAGGATCGAGGGAAAGTTGAACTGAGCAAAGTACAGAGAGATCCTTGATGAAAACCGTCTCCAGAGCGCTCAGGACCTCAGACTGGGGCGAAGGTTCACCTTCCAACAGGACAATGACCTTAAGCACACAGCCAAGACAACGCAGGAGTGGCTTCGGGACAAGTCTCTGAATGTCCTTGAGTGGCCCAGCCAGAGCCCGCTCCCCATCCAACCTGACAGAGCTTGATCTGCAGAGAAGAATGGGTGGAAACTCCCCAAATACAGGTGTGCCAAGCTTGTAGTGTCATACCCAAGAAGACTCGATGCTGTAATCGCTGCTAAAGGTGCTTCAACAAAGTACTGAGTAAAGGGTCTGAATACTTATGTAAATAAGATATTTCAGTTTATTTATTTATAAATTTGCAAAAATGTCTAAAAACCTGTTATTGCTTTGTCATTATGGGGTATTGTGTGTAGATTTCATGAGGGGGGGAAAAAACTATTTTATCCATTTTAGAATAAGGCTATACAGTGGGGGAAAAAAGTATTTAGTCAGCCACCAATTGTGCAAGTTCTCCCACTTAAAAAGATGAGAGAGGCCTGTAATTTTCATCATAGGTACACGTCAACTATGACAGACAAAATGAGAAAAGAAAATCCAGAAAATCGCATTGTAGGATTTTTTATGAATTTATTTGCAAATTATGGTGGAAAATAAGTATTTGGTCACCTACAAACAAGCAAGATTTCTGGCTCTCACAGACCTGTAACGTCTTCTTTAAGAGGCTCCTCTGTCCTCCACTCGTTACCTGTATTAATGGCACCTGTTTGAACTTGTTATCAGTATAAAAGACACCTGTCCACAACCTCAAACAGTCACACTCCAAACTCCACTATGGCCAAGACCAAAGAGCTGTCAAAGGACACCAGAAACAAAATTGTAGAACTGCACCAGGCTGGGAAGACTGAATCTGCAATAGGTAAGCAGCTTGGTTTGAAGAAATCAACTGTGGGAGCAATTATTAGGAAATGGAAGACATACAAGACCACTGATAATCTCCCTCGATCTGGGGCTCCACGCAAGATCTCACCCTGTGGGGTCAAAATGATCACAAGAACGGTGAGCAAAAATCCCAGAACCACACAGGGGAACCTAGTGAATGACCTGCAGAGAGCTGGGACCAAAGTAACAAAGCCTACCATCAGTAACACACTACGCCGCCAGGGACTCAAATCCTGCAGTGCCAGACGTGTCCCCTTGCTTAAGCCAGTACATGTCCAGGCCCGTCTGAAGTTTGCTAGAGTGCATTTGGATGATCCAGAAGGATATTGGGAGAATGTCATATGGTCAGATGAAACCAAAATATAACTTTTTGGTAAAAACTCAACTCGTCGTGTTTGGAGGACAAAGAATGCTGAGTTGCATCCAAAGAACACCATACCTACTGTGAAGCATGGGGGTGGAAACATCATGCTTTGGGGCTGTTTTTCTGCAAAGGGACCAGGACGACTGATCTGTGTAAAGGAAAGAATGAATGGGGCCATGTATCGTGAGATTTTGAGTGAAAACCTCCTTCCATCAGCAAGGGCATTGAAGATGAAACGTGGCTGGGTCTTTTCAGTATGACAATGATCCCAAACACACCGCCCGGGCAACGAAGGAGTGGCTTCGTAAGAAGCATTTCAAGGTCCTGGAGTGGCCTAGCCAGTCTCCAGATCTCAACCCCATAGAAAATCTTTGGAGGCAGATGAAAGTCCGTGTTGCCCAGCGACAGCCCCAAAACATCACTGCTCTAGAGGAGATCTGCATGGAGGAATGGGCCAAAATACCAGCAACAGTGTGTGAAAACCTTGTGAAGACTTACAGAAAACGTTTGACCTGTGTCATTGCCAACAAAGGATATGTAACAAAGTATTGAGAAACTTTTGTTATTGACCAAATACTTACTTTCCACCATAATTTGCAAATAAATTCATTAAAAATCCTACAATGTGATTTTCTGGAGAAAAGAAATCTCATTTTGTCTGTCATAGTTGACGTGTACCTATGTTGAAAATTACAGGCCTCTCATCTTTTTAAGTGGGAGAACTTGCACAATTGGTGGCTGACTAAATACTTTTTTACCCCCACTGTAAGGTAACAAAATGTTGAATAATCAAGGGGTCTGAATACTTTCCGAATGCACTGTATAAACAATTTGAACAGAGCTTATTGTGACGTCAATTTATCTGTTTCAGGCGGCACTCATGGGACACAAATCTTGGGAAGCGAAACAGGGTAACACGTTCTATTTGTATATCGCCTTGAATATGTAATATCCTGTGAAAGTGACGGCCTCTTATGCTTTACTTCCGTATCGTTCCCCGTGCTGTTTTGAATAGACATAGTGGTTATATCTTCAAATTCATGAAAATGCGGGCATTTAAAATGTATACAGTGGGGGAAAAAAGTATTTAGTCAGCCACCAATTGTGCAAGTTCTCCCACTTAAAAAGATGAGAGGCCTGTAATTTTCAACATAGGTACACGTCAACTATGACAGACAAATTGAGAAAAAAAAATCCAGAAAATCACATTGTAGGATATTTAATGAATTTATTTGCAAATTATGGTGGAAGATAAGTATTTGGTCACCTACAAACAAGCAAGATTTCTGGCTCTCACAGACCTGTAACTTCTTTAAGAGGCTCCTCTGTCCTCCACTCGTTACCTGTATTAATGGCACCTGTTTGAACTTATCAGTATAAAAGACACCTGTCCACAACCTCAAATAGTCATACTCCAAACTCCACTATGGCCAAGACCAAAGAGCTGTCAAAGGACACCAGAAACAAAATTGTAGACCTGCACCAGGCTGGGAAGACTGAATCTGCAATAGGTAAGCAGCATGGGTGAAGAAATCAACTGTGGGAGCAATTATTAGGAAATTGAAGACATACAAGACCACTAATCTCCCTCGATCTGGGGCTCCACACAAGATCTCACCCCGTGGGGTCAAAATGATCACAAGCAAAAATCCCAGAACCACACAGGGGGAACTAGTGAATGACCTGCAGAGAGCTGGGACCAAAGTAACAAAGCCTACCATCAGTAACACACTACGCCGCCAGCGACTCAAATCCTGCAGTGCCAGACGTGTCCCCCTGCTTAAGCCAGTACATGTCCAGGCCCGTCTGAAGTTTGCTAGAGTGCATTTGGATGATCCAGTAGAGGATTGGGAGAATGTCAGATGAAACCAAAATATAACTTTTTGGTAAAAACTCAACTCGTCGTGTTTGGAGGACAAAGAATGCTGAGTTGCATCCAAATAACACCATACCTACTGTGAAGCATTGGAGTGGAAACATCATGCTTTGGGGCTGTTTTTCTGCAAAGGGACCAGGACGACTGATCCGTGTAAAGGAAAGAATGAATGGGGCCATGTATCGTGAGATTTTGAGTGAAAACCTCCTTCCATCAGCAAGGGCATTGAAGATGAAACGTGGCTGGGTCTTTTCAGCATGACAATGATCCCAAACACACCGCCCGGGCAACGAAGGAGTGGCTTCGTAAGAAGCATTTCAAGGTCCTGTAGTGGCCTAGCCAGTCTCCAGATCTCAACCCCATAGAAAATCTTTGGAGGGAGTCGAAAGTCCGTGTTGACAGCCCCAAAACATCACTGCTCTAGAGGAGATCTGCATGGAGGAATGGGCCAAAATACCAGCAACAGTGTGTGAAAACCTTGTGAAGACTTACAGAAAACGTTTGACCTGTGTCATTGCCAACAAAGGGTATATAAGAAAGTATTGAGAAACTTTTGTTATTGACCAAATACTTATTTTCCACCATAATTTGCAAATAAATTCATAAAAAATCCTACAATGTGACTTTCTGGATTATTTTTTTCTCATTTTGTCTGTCATAGTTGACGTGTACCTATGATGAAAATTACAGGCCTCTCTCATCTTTTTAAGTGGGAGAACTTGCACAATTGGTGGCTGACTAAATCCTTTTTTTTCCCCACTGTATAAAATTATATTTGTGTTTGTGGATGAATTGACTTCTACCAGATACCTTTTTATGACGTTTTTGCACTTGAAGACCAGTGCACTAAGTTTCTGCGCATTGAAGACCTTTTTTTTTTTACTACGAAAGTTGAGAAACTACAAGGCTGAAGGGCAGTCACTTCCTGCTTACTTTCACTGCGTATTCTCACCAACAAAAATCACTTATACATTAGCTAAGAGCTTCATCACCCCGATCAGCGATGGTCAACTGCAAAGTATATTTTTTAAACAAATCTATTCATCGATATTAAATGTATAATTGTGGTGATTACACCCATATTATTAGTGAATTAAGTTTAACATAAATACCTCTGTTTTTATTTACTTATTCTAGCTTCATTGAAAAAACCAAAGCAACGGCATGGTCCCAGAACGGTAGCCAGTATGCTGAACCAGAAGGGAAAGGAACAGCAGAACAGTCAGCAACAGAACAGTCAACTTGTGATGATGTTCCCTCAGACCTTTGTCATTGCACAGCCTGTAGTACAGTCCACCCCACATCCAGCGGTCCCCTTCACTCCAACTTCCAGACAACAACTCATGCCTTCCACACTTACCCAACCCGGACCCTCTACCCCCAGCCGACCCATACCCGCCACACCTGGTCAACCTGTACCCTCTACCCCCAGCCGACCCATACCCTCTACCCCCAGCCGACCCATACCCTCCACACCTGGTCAACCTGTACCCTCTACCCCCAGCCGACCTATACTCCCTGCTCCTGTCCAATCCTCAACCATAATAGACAGGGTGAATGTTCAGGCAAATGAGAGTCCTTCAGCAAAGAAACGCAATCGCAAACCTACTGAGAAAGCACAGGCCAACAAAGAGGTCAAGGATGCTGCAATTGCTAAAAAGTCAGTGGAACAGTCGCCCAAACGCAAGAAAGCCCGTATGCAAAGTCCTCCCAATGGAAACCTGGTTGGCCAAGTTTCGGACATAATTCTGTCCCCTCCACAAACTGCCTGGGTCCTGACGCCCAATGGACTTGTGCCAATCAGTGGCATTGGCATCCAGATGACACCTCAGAATCTACCAGAAAAGGCTTTTGCACCTGCTTGTCGATCGCCTGTTATTATCAACCAGCAAGTCCCTCTAACACTAAATGCTGCTGCAGCACAGGCCTCCTCCAATGTGACCGATGTCTGCCCATCTCCCTCTGCCTCATCCATAGCACAGGGAACTGCCTCCCCATCTGTTTTCTCCTCTCCCTCTGCCTCCACTACCTTCATAAGCAATACTGCTCCAAGGATGACCAACCCAGTGAACAACGTGAGAATGACTAACCCAGTCCTGCAGACTGTGGCAACCACTGCTCCCCAGCTCAATGCAGTGTCACCTGTTCTCTCCGTCCCCATGAACACGGTCATCTCGGCTCCCATCAGACCACAGACTGGCCTGCCACAGGCTTTAGTCCTCAATGTCCCTCCAGGCTCTCTTCCGGCCTCATTCCCTCAGGGAGCCTTCCGAATCGTGCAGCTTAACCCCCCTAAACGTGCCCCTCCACCCCGCAATCCAGAGCTAATACAGTTTGATCCCAACCTGATGTTCACGGAGGACCCGGCCCAAGTGAGAGAGTGGTTGAACGGCAAGAATGGAGTTGCGCTTCCGGAGTTGGACGTCACTCTGCCCTACCTTCCCCCCTTTGTCAGCAACTTGAATACGCTGTCGAATGTCCTGAAATGTAAAAAGACGTTGGCCATTAGTGCCATGCTGGTCCTGCGCCCAGAGGAGAAAGAGAACCTGGAAGAGGAGCAGCAGGTAGCGGCAGTGCGGAGCCTCGTGGCAGAGCGTTTCAGCCATAACCCGGGCTACGTGCTCTTGAAGGCTCGCTTCTTGTCTTGTTTCACCATGCCTGCTCTTCTGGCTACTATCAATCCAGTCAAACTTTCCAAGTCTCCCACCCCGGACCACAGTGATGTGGAGGAGGAACCGTTCAGGAACCGTCCTGGGGAGCAGAAGTATACTGTGTCTGTACAGCCAACAGCACTCCAGGTGAGTTCAGCCTCAAACCAATCATCCTTCATGTGTTCGATACACTGCCTTTCTGTCCTCTTCTCTCACTGAACCGTTGAGCGGATCTTGTTTTGTTCTTTTCTCAGGCCCCTCTGCTAAGCACTGATGGAACAGGAGCCCCCGCCACCTTCTTCTCCGGAATCACCACAAGAAATAAAAGCCGCAACCTCGACATGGACACGGAGTAATTGGAATAGTTTTGGAATGAGGTGTGGTCTTACGGGTTAAACCAGTTTTCTGTGTTTGAAAGTTCTTGCCAATTTTGTTTTGTCACTGTCATAAAAAGGGATGTTACTGGAACTGATAGAAGGTAGCTGTATTCTATGACGTCACTCAATACAGTATAGTTGCTGTTGAAATTGCACTTAACGAATGGTTCATATTTGTACTTGTTTTTGTTCATAATTGAATTATTCTTATACATTGTGAAAATAGTATTTTGTTGACCTGTACATATTTTGCAATAAATCATTCTACTTGTTAATAAATGTGTATATATTGGATCTGCAGAGCACATTGGTCAGATCGGCCCTCAACAAGCAGTTTTTTGCAGACCACATAGTGGTCACTGAGGGTGCATAATAGTTCAAATCTGTGCAGAAAGTACTAGCTATAAAACTCACTATATTCTGTCAGGGTGGTTTATTTTTGGCCAGAAATGTCCTCAAAGGGGCACACCTCTCCTGTGAACCTCTCCTGTGAACCTCGCCTGTGAACCTCGCCTGTGAACCTCGCCTGTGAACCTCTCCTGTGAACCTCGCCTGTGAATAAATGTTTATTAGCCAGGATGCAAAAGTTTATTAGCCTCAAACTAAGGATGCAATTGTTTATTAGCCCGAAGGATTGTGCAGTTTCATGAGTGATGCAAAATTCAGGTAACTTTCCCAAAATCCTCAGGTGTTCCAGTAGTCCTGGTTGAAAGATTTCTGGAATCAGGAATAAGCAGGAAGTTGCAAATTCTCAATCCACGATCTCTGGAAAAGTTGGGACTTTTAGGAAAGTTACTGGAATTTTGCAACCCTAGTTAAATGGATTAATATTACATTGTGTGTATATAAACCAGTAAATACTCAATAAAATATTTATAAGCAATATTCTCTCCCTGATGGGCGAGGAACCTGTTTTCTATATTATTTACAATGAAAATATATTGTAGCTTAATTTTAGAAACTACAGCAATCAAGTCAGTGTAATAATGTGTTTCATCAACTGAACTGTTTTTCATCAACAAACGAGGGAAGGAAGTGATTGAGTCATTGCCTCACAGTCCTTAAACGAGGTGTCTGTACTACTGCCAATACTCTTATCACTAGTCACTCCATTTCTGTGTTGGTTTATTGGGAATAAAGGAACATGTTGGTAGGTAGATTATTCACAATTTTCCAAGAAGGCACTACTGTTGGTACACTTTGACAATTGCACATTGTTTTCTTGAAGAGTTTGTCTCGGCACACAGTAGCACAAAATGGGGGAAATGAAAAAACAAATGACTCCTACAAAAAGGAACTTGACTCTTGCGTCATAAAACAGTATTTCCACATTATGAAAGTTCCACATTTGGATTGGCACCACTTAACCATCTAGCGTTCACTCCCAGTTGAAGGAGCTCTGAGACAATCATGACTGACAGTCAGAGTGTGTCAGATATGGAGGATGAGCAGTGCTGGGCCCAGCTGGAGGAATACAGACTGCTGCTGATAAAGACCATTGAGCCGTCGCAAATCACTCCTTACCTGCGTCAGTGCAAGGTGCTAAGCAGTGAGGATGAGGAGCAGATATTCAATGACTCCAGTCTGGTCATCCGCCGACGCAAAGTAGGTAAGGCAATATCCTCTATTTCAGGTCATTGAGCAAACAAAGGGTCAAGTGTTCCACTTTCTACTTTGAACTACAATAATTTGGTTGCATTCCAGGTCTTTATTGAAGGCGCACAGTGCTTCTCAGAAGATTGCTATATGTCAATTCAGGCGTTAAGAGATGTGATCATCTGCAAAATAAATATGACCTGGAATGTGCCCACAATCTCCTGAAATGCATGTCCGTACCTTATTTTTTAAACCTCAGATCCATGTTCACAGGTGTACTATTGGATATTCTTCAAAGAACTGGACTCAAAGGCTATGTGGCATTCCTCGAGAGCTTGGAGCTGGACTATCCTCAATTGTATCGCAAAATTACTGGCAAAGAACCTGCCCGGGTCTTTTCTATACTAGTTGGTGAGTGGCAATACACCATCACGTGTTTCCATAGACAAGTTGTGTATCTATCATTAAAGCTTGTAGGTATTTGTGTAAGATATACTGTAAGTTGAATTTCTTGGCATGATCTTTCGAAGTGCTGGTGTCTGTGACAATGGATTTGATCCAAAAAACAAAACATCCTGTCTTCTCTCTGACATCATAGACACGGTGGGTGAGTCAGGACTGACTCAGTTCTTGATGAGCGAGGTCACACGTCTACAGAAGGGCCTGCAGGAGGAACGCCGGCGCAGACAGGAGGCCACTTCGGCTGTAGCCGCGCAGGAGGACACCTTACGGCAGCAGCAGGTTAGGGAGAGGGAGCTGCGGAAGCAGCAGGAGCGCGTGCAGTGTATGAGGGAGGAGAGGGACAGGCAGTTGGAGGTCGTACGCCACCTGAAGGACGACAACTACAGCCTGATGTACAACGTGACCAAGCTCAACGAAGAGAAGAATAGTGCTCTCATGTCCAACCGGGATCTGCAGCTGGAGGTGAGAGAGAGGAGGAGGAGGAGGAGGAGGGGAGGGGAGGGGGGTTGCAGCTCTGGCAAACCCAAACACATCAACTTATGAGAAAAGCAATCACTATTGGTTTACATCTTCAGTATAGAAAAATCTCTGTAGTCAGACATGTGGAGACATTCGTTATAGAACAGCACAAAGTCAATCGGCAACAACTAAAAAAGTTTTGATGGGATTTTCATTAATCACTAGATAGAGAAGCTGAAGCACAGTCTGATGAAGGCAGAGAGTGACTCGAAAATCCAACGCAAGCAAACTGTGAACCTGAAGAATGCCATTGAGGAGAGACCCAGTCAAGACATGATCTGGCAGCTCCAGAGAGACAACGATCTGCTAACAGCGCGCATCCAGGAGCTGGAGAGCTCAGCTCAGGTATGGGGGGAAACCCAAACACATCAACTTATGACAAAACCACTAACTATTGGTTTACATTTTAAGTATAGAAAGACCTCTGTAGCCAGACATGTTGAGACATTCGTTATAGAACAGCACAAAGTCAGTCAGCAACAATGAAACATTTTGGAATAACATTTAAGAGTGGCATTTTGGTTCAGTGATAATTTCTCAGTAAATGTTTAGGAATGCAGTGAAATAAAAAGGACCCTGCACTGCACTGGACACATTTTGGAATAACAGCTAGGAGTGGCATTTTGTGCACCACAAGATAAATGTTTTCACAAATAGTGATTGTTCAGATGCACAATTGTACAATTTTTACATTACTGAGCCAAGTCGAGCCAAGTCGTGCTGGCTTGGTTAGGCATCCACTGTTATGGCTATGGTTCAACCCAACACTCAGAGAAACCAACACGACAAAGGGAGTGGAAGAAACAAAAATATTTTAATAAAAGTTCAAATTGTCTTAGTCCAAAAACAACTGAAGTAAAGGAACAGAGTGGGCTAGTCGGCTCCGGAGGAAGGAGAGGCTGAGGCAGGCAGGCAGGCAGGCAGGCAGGCAGGCAGGCAGACCGACAGGCAGGAAGGCAGGCAGGTTGGGAGGTATGTCCGAACTGAAGACAAAACAAACGACAGGTTAAGGAGAGTGGAGAGCCAGGCTGAAGACAAAGACAAAATAACTTTACTGGTGAGCCAAGTTACCGCTCTGGTAAGAACAACGATCTGGCGCCGGTGGAGAGCCATGCCCAGGAATAAGTAGTGCAGGTTGATGAGAGAATAGGATGCAGCTGCGTAGGCAGGAATCACTGGAAACAACCCGCAGCTGCACAGGAGAGGCAGATCCTGCACGCCCTGCTCCACTCCAGACACACCAATAAAGGGACAACACACATACAACAGAAAAAGAGGGGACAAAACAAGGAGGAAGGGAAACAGAAAAGGGAGAGACAAGCTGCCCACATAACATCCACTATAGTTTGCTGGAACTGTGCTGAAAAGGACAACGTGAAAATAAAATATGAGCCAGCACAGTACGGTTCATGTCGGTACAGTAGTGTGAAAAAAGTACTGGATTAAGTGAGTAGTGTGACAGGATTCATCTGTATGTTCCAGCAGGGGACAGCTCCAGCCCCCTTGGATCAAGAGAAGCTGAGTGCTGAGAGTCTAGACAACAACAAGCAGCACTCTCAGGCTCAGCACCAGGAGCTGGTCAACAACATCTACACCCTACGCAGAGATCTGCACGATGCTGAGGCACTACGTAATCGGGTACACATCACGACCTGATGCACTGAGCACTGCTTAGGAATAGTTGTAGGAGAAGACTACTGATTATACTGAATTTCTTAAATATAAGCTATTCATCTGCTCTTTCAACACAAGTGCAAGAGGAACAAAAAATTCCAAACACAAATCATATTATTTCCTCAAAAATGCTGATCCTGAGCATCAGGATGAATATATTTCCTTATTTTTGTCATCTGCCCAAGCGTGTTCCTCATTCATTGGAATAGCTGACTGTGTGAAGTTAAATTGTTCAAGTTGTGTTTTCCGATGTGACAAGTTATGTTGTTCCAATTGTAATATATAGGTTTGATTTGTTCTTGCAGTACTTGGAGGCAAAGGAGGTTCTTGACTTGAAGTGCACAACATTGAAGAAAGATGCAAAAATGTATCGTGACCGAATGAAGGATATCCTGAAACAGATGGATGAGGTTATCAGGGAGCGAAACAAGGTGAACATGGTGTGATTTTAGGACTGTATGATTATAGGACCTCACTGTCTTGGGAAATCCTAACTTCCCCTTCACTTAGTCTCCAAATGACATCAATGCATGGCTAAGTGAAAATTCAACTTTAGTGAAGGTTAGGATTCACCCCATACTGCTTATTTCTTTCATCCAAAAGAGTTGACTTCTATTTGATCAAAATTAAAGAGTTGACTATCTGTGTGGTTGTGATCAGAAGCTCATCTGCACCGTTGCCATTTGTTTCATATAAACCACTACAGCAAAGCAAACCAAGGCATGTGTTTTGTGGTAGGCCATCGCCTCTCGAGAGGAGTACCACCAGGAGAATTCACGGAGCCTCCAGGAGAAGGACCAGTACCGGAAACAGATTCGGGAGCTGGGTGAGCGCTGTGATGAGCTGCAGGTCCAGTTGTTCCGGACTGAGGCAGAGGTTATGGCTCTACAGACCAGGCTTCACAGAAACACCTGCTCCCCACATGACGTGAGAATGGATTCCACCAACCACTTCCATTTAGATCTGTCTTTTAACTCAAACATAAAATATGTCATCAGAATCACTGAACTGGCATTGCAAGCTTTTCAGATTCTATTTTCATTCACTTTTGTTTCTGTCTATTTTGTTTATATAGGATAGCGTAGGATAGCCTATTGATTTTGGAAACATATTTATATTGATTTACAATTTCCCTCTCAGACGTCAGACTTTGAGAATGGTTCCTTGCTGATATTGTAAATGTAGTTTACTTCCTGATTTACAACAAATGATGTCCATGCAGTATTATTACATTTGCAATGTTCAGGGATCTGAATAATTCTACTTCTACTTTTGACCTCTCTGTGTTTCCTCTTTTACAAATGACCTGCAATGATCCATCCACTTTGGCAGCTCATGTTTTCCTGTCTCTGCAACCCACTTTAGATCGAGTGTTCTCTTTTTGTGTGTTCTCTGCCACAGAAAAGCCAGACCAGTGAGGAAGACTGCAGAGATACATTAACCGAAGGCAAGAAATCTATGAGAAGTGACAAATAATCATCACACATTTTTTTATACAACAATGATCAGAAAAGTTATACTTTTTGTGTTCATGGTAATCATACGCTTAGCTTGAGATATGATTTGACCATGATTTTTGAACTCCCAGCATTCTATGTTGTTAGCTACATAAAAAAATCTTTATCACAGCTAATAGTGTGGAGCTGCAATGTCAGACATCGGGGGAGTATGATGTGTGCATTGGTTTGCAAGTCCACCCGTTGTGTGCAGAAGGGTCCAGGGAGGATAATATCTCAGCAGTAAGTACCTTCAATTGTTTATCTCTTGACTAGTTCACATCTGTCTGGCCTGGCGTTGTGAGCTTTTCTTATTATATAATAAGCCACTTGTTAGTAGTCACTTCACGTCAACTGAACCTCAATTCTCTCCATCTGCATGGAACACACTTCACATTTTAGCGCCTAGAAGAAAGAAAAAAAATCAGTTTAAACAGGAAGATAATATGAAGTTTATGGTTACTGTGTATTGTATATGTATTTTGCTTTGCTCCACGTGACAGGAAAAAGCTTTATCGGAGGATGAGCTCTCAGACTGCAGCAAGCCCAGAAGAAGGTGTAACTTCTACTACAGAAGGTTGGCAAGTTTATATGTTTTAGAGAAAACCACATAAGGGCATTTGTTGAATATGCAGTATCTGTATTTGGTCATAAATTGTTTGCATAGGGGTAAAACTGCTATGGGTTATGTATGGGAGTGATTTTGTTGAGGTGAAGGGACTTTTCTGCTGCTTGTGTTATCCTGTTATTTGTAAATATATATATATATATATATATATATATATATATATATATATATATATATATATATATACAGTTGAGGTCGGAAGTTTACATACACTTAGGTTGGAGTCATTCAAACTAGTTTTTCAACCACTCCACAAATTTCTTGTTAACAAACTATAGTTTTGGCAAGTCGGTTAGGACATCTACTTTGTGCATGACACAAGTAATTTTTCCAACAATTGTTTACAGACAGATTATTTCACTTATAATTCACTGTATCACAATTCCAGTGGGTCAGATGTTTACATACACTAAGTTGACTGTGCCTTTAAACAGCTTGGAAAATTCCAGAAAATGATGTCATGGCTTTAGAAGCTTCTGATAGGCTAATTGACATAATTTGAGTCAATTGGAGGTGTACCTGGGGATGTATTTCAAGGCCTACCTTCAAACTCAGTGCCTCTTTGCTTGACATCATGGGAAAATCAAAAGAAATCAGCCAAGACCTCAGAAAAAAAATTGTAGACCTCCACAAGTCTGGTTCATCCTTGGGAGCTATTTCCAAACGCCTGAAGGTACCACGTTCATCTGTACAAACAATAGTACGCAAGTATAAACACCATGGGACCACGCAGCCGTCATACCGCTCAGGAAGGAGACGCGTTCTGTCTCCTAGAGATGAACGTACTTTGGTGCGAAAAGTGCAAATCAATCCCAGAACAACAGCAAAGGACCTTGTGAAGATGCTGGAGGAAACAGGTACAAAAGTATCTATATCCACAGTAAAACGAGTCCTATATCGACATAACCTGAAAGGCCACTCAGCAAGGAAGAAGCCACTGCTCCAAATCCGCCATTAAAAAGGCCAGACTACGGTTTGCAACTGCACATGGGGACAAAGATCGTACTTTTTGGAGAAATGTCCTCTGGTCTGATGAAACAAAAATAGAACTGTTTGGCCATAATGACCATCGTTATGTTTGGAGGAAAAAGGGGGATGCTTGCAAGCTGAAGAACACCATCCCAACCGTGAAGCACGGCGGTGGCAGCATCATGCTGTGGGTTGCTTTGCTGCAGGAGGGACTGGTGCACTTCACAAAATAGGTGGACATCATGAGGAAGGAAAATTATGTGGATATATTGAAGCAACATCTCAAGACATCAGTCAGGAAGTTAAAGCTTGGTCGCAAATGGGTCTTCCAAATGGACAATGACCCCAAGCATACTTCCAAAGTTGTGGCAAAATGGCTTAAGGACAACAAAGTCAAAGTATTGGAGTGGCCATCACAAAGCCCTGACCTCAATCCTATAGAAACTTTGTGGGCAGAACTGAAAAAGCATGTGCGAGCAAGGAGGCCTACAAACCTGACTCAGTTACACCAGCTCTGTCAGGAGGAATGGGCCAAAATTCACCCAACTTATTGTGGGAAGCTTGTGGAAGGATACCTGAAATATTTGACCCAAGTTAAACAATTTAAAGGCAATGCTACCAAATACTAATTGAGTGTATGTAAACTTCTGACCCACTGGGAATGTGATGAAAGAAATAAAAGCTTAAATAAATCATTCTCTGTACTATTATTCTGACATTTCACATTCTTAAAATAAAGTGGTGATCCTAACTGACCTAAGACAGGGAATTTTTACTAGGATTAAATGTCAGGAATTGTGAAAAACTGAGTTTAAATGTATTTGGCTAAGGTGTGTGTAAACTTTCGACTTCAACTGTATGTAATTATTTCATTCTTCAACAACAGGAAATGTGGCCTTAGGAGGTCAAAGGCCACATGCAAGGATTGCACACCTTGTGTCCTGGACATCAGCAGTGGAAGTGGCAACACTGACACAGATGGGATGTGACTGAGAGAGGGGGAATAGAGGAGTGGCTGGGGGACATGGCAAGGTCCTTCAGAAACATAGGCTAGTTTAATTTCCTTCACAAAAATATTAGAATTATTAAATCAATTGAAATAATCATTTTGTTGAAATTACGTACACTACCAGTCAAAAGTTTGGACACACCTACTAATTCAAGGGTTTTTCTTTATTTTTACTATTTTCTACATTGTAGAATAATAGTGAAGACATCAGAACTATGAAATAACACATATGGAATCATGTAGTAAACAAAAAAGTGTTAAACAAATCAAAATATATTTTATATTTGAGATTCTTCTTTGCTTATTTGAGCTGTTCTTGCCATAATATGGACTTGGTCTTTTACCAAATAGGGCTATCTTCTGTATACCCCCCCCCTACCTTGTCACAACACAAATGATTGGCTCAAATGCATTAAGAAGGAAATAAATTCCACAAATTAACTTTTAAGAAGGCACACCTGTTAATTGAAATGCATTCCAGGTGACCACCTCATGAAGCTGATTGAGAGAATGCCAAGATTGTGCAAAGCTGCCATCAAGGCAAAGGGTGGCTATTTGAAGAATCTCAAATATTAAATATATTTTGATTTGTTTAACACTTTTTTGGTTACTACATGATTCCATATGTGTTATTTCATAGTTTTGATGTCTTCACTATTATTCTACAATGTAGAAAATAGTACAAATAAAGAAAACCCCTTGAATGAGTAGGTGTATCCAAACTTTTGACTGGTACTGTATATGTTTAATCTTTGTATTGTTCTAATAAAATTGCTATATTTTGAACAGTGACTGCATGATGAATGTGTTTCTGTATGCAAGTTACTTGTACCAGAGATGGTATAGAAGCTTTCCTCTAATATCTTTGCTTGTACCTCTTAATGTGCATTTTTAGTCATGCAAAAGCAGAGGAAAGTGGATACCATACCATAGCTAGTAAGAAAGGCAAAGAAAATTTAAAGGGGTTGTCACTAGTTACCACCGCCACAAAGTCAAGGTTAGCTATATTGTAAAAATTCATGAAAACCAAAAAAAAAAAAAAGCTTTTTGCTCTTAATTTAAGGGTAGGTTTCGGCATACGGTTAGCAGTGTGGTTAAGGTTAGGGTTCAGTTTAGGTTTAAAATTATATTTTAAGATTTAATTATTATAATTATTTAATTGTAAATCGCTCTGGATAAGAGCGTCTGCTAAATGACTAAAATGTAATGTAATGTAAGATGAGAAATTGTAGAAATGGGCGTGGTTTATTAATTTATGACTTGTGGCTGTGTTAACTAGTGACGACCGTAAAGAGGGGCGGCAGGTAGCGTAGCGTTTAAGTGCGTTGGGCCAGTAACCGAATGGTAGCTAATTCGAGTCCCCAAGCCAACTAGGTGAAAAATCTGTCGATGTGCCCTTGAGCAAAGCACTTAACACTAATTGCTCCTGTAAATCGCTCTGGATGAGAGCATCTGCTAAATGACTAAAATGTAAATGTTAAATGTAAGCTACAATTTGTATAGAAATCTTTGGTGAAGAGGCGTGGTACACACTTGCACTTTGTGCTCTAAATGCACATACTGTTTGGCATTTATGGACACAAAATGTTGCAATGTTTGCATCATTGGTTAGAATTTTGTGTCACGGAATTTATTTATTTCACAAACGTTACATCAAAGATAGTACAATATGAAGATGGGCAGAAACTGCTTCTCCAATAGAAATCCCCGATCACGCTTGTAGGCGACGTTGGCTAGCTAGGCGCATGCGTAGAAAGACGTCATCGGGTCTAACGGTATCTCGCACTGAACTGCGCATGTGCAGGCCTTCATAAAGTTGTTTTTGACGAAAATGAAAAAGTGTCAGTTTGTCAGTTGGAGTAATAATAACATGTTCAACTACTTAAGACTAGCTGTGTTCGAATACCATACTAACATACTGTATACTACATACTTAATGAGTATACTGGGTGCGTTCGTAAATTCACTCTGGCCATCTACTCCAATTTCAGAGCACTCATCCGAGTGTACCAGAGTGCAGAATAACTGATGTTAACATATTCAGGATTTCCATGTCAGTGTTGGCAGTGTCACACTCCTAAAAAACAAACAAATGAAAGACATTGTACTGTAGCAAGCTAGCTATCTGTCTAGAATAGCCTGCTATGTTACTAGCTAAGTAAGTTTCGTTATACTACTCTAGCTATTGCCATTTCAGCTGACAATCAGCTGATTGCACTTGCTAACGTTAGCTAGCTAGCTAGCTAGCTTGATGTTACTGTAGTTAAAAACAAGGTTAGTGACACACTGACACCAGGGGCGGTGTGTTCATTAGGGCGATATGGGCGACGCACTACCAAACGGGAAAAGGAAGGGATTTTTTTTCTAATCAATTGTATCACGGCAACAGTAGTTATCAGTGTTCTAATCTAGACGTCCGATCTGCCACTAAATGTCCAATCAGGCTAAAGTCGTGCTTCAAATGGCCCCGCCCCTTTTGGGGCGATTTCAGTCAGGTTGAAAATCGCCCCAGAAGTCTCTCATAGACTCTCATGTAAAATCTTTTTTTTTCAAATATCAGAGCTTTCAATACAATCTCTATGGGTTGCGGGAGGGCTTGCACTTACGCGCTTTTGTCATACGTAACATAACCATGAACGTAACTAAGAAAAGAGCGGGTAGCAGCGTCAATCAATTCACGTACTACTGTCAAGATGGCTAGCGTTCAGTGCAACTCGATTGTCTCTTTGAAAGAAGTTCCTTTTTGTCGGCGAACAAATCAAGATAAATTGGCAGTGAAACAATTAGGACCTCCCAGACCAAATTTAATAATTCAACAGGTTTCTACTAAAGGGGGAAAGTCCTACACCCGAGGATTTTCCAAAAATTGGTACGAACGAAAAACCTGGCTAGCAGGCTGCGATGTAGCTAATGCAGTCTTCTGCTACCCCTGCTTACTCTTTCACCCTGAAGGCGGCACGGCAGACAGCACCGCTTGGACAGCAACTGGTGTAACGGACATGCACCATCTTTCAGAAAAGATTAAGAAACATGAGCTGTCAAAGACCCACATGGATAGCTGTTTGAGATTGTCTGCTTTGGGGAGAGTGAACATTGCCACTCAACTGGATGAGGGATACAGGCTAGCTGTCCGCCGCCACAACGATGAGGTTAGCAAGAACCGCCACATCCTCAGCCGGCTAATCCAGTGTGTGAAGTTTTGCTGAGTGTTTGAGTTAGCTTTGCGAGGCAAAGATGAAACTGAGGGCTCCACCAAACCTGGTATTTTTCTTGGACTTGTCAACTTTGTGGCACAATTAGATGAGGTGTTTTATGGAAATGCATATTGTTTATGCAGTGTTGAGGAATGTGAAAGAACACCCGTGATTATTTTTACTGTGATAACTTATTTTGCTTTTGTAAGCCAACACTTTTGAGATCAGTCAATAAATGCTTCTGATATTGACTTATATGCTGCCCCTGTCTTCATGTTGTTGCTGGACATATCTTTTTTATAATGTGTGTAGGTCACCTAAATCATCAGAAAAATTGCCCCCCCTGAGAATTTTTTCAGGAGCCGCCACTGACTGACACACCAAATGCATGTTGCAAGGCCAATGTGTTGATCTTACATTGTCATAATCACTGTCGCAGTCAACCAGTCTCAAAAATAGTTGAAACAACATTGTTTACTACCCAAAAGAGAGCAGTCACGCCTTCTCTGTTTTCAGCCATTTTTATTTTGAGAACCGTTTTATCGTTGGTAAATTCGTCATTATCAAGTGCTCGCATTTCAGAGCCAGAGCGCTCGCATTTCAGAGCAGAGCTTTGTTGATGATCACAAGTTTACTGGAGAACGGAGACCAAGTAGAGACTTTCGGACAAGGTGGATAATTGTATAATATGAGGCAGTTTATTCAGAGGTAAAGATATCTGTAAATAGCGTGCACGGACCCGTTCGTCAACCTCGTAGGGAGATATCTGAGAGCGAGCCCCTAAACATTGTGTGCTGACATTTTATACAATAAAATAAAGTAGGTTGATTCTAGTAGTTCTGATCTTCTGATTGGTCCTGATGAGTTGGTCGAGGTCACCTCCATTGCATTGGCTCTGAGTCGGGTTCTCTGTCTTCAGATGTTCAGCCTAAGAGAAGGGGTTTTTTGTGTGTGTGTGTGCTTAACAATGATGATGTGTGTGTGTGTGCGTGTGTGTATGTGTGTGTATGCCCTCAGAGCAATAACTCGTGAGTTGGGAGAACTGAGAGACCTATGGCGTGGGTGTTGTCCATAGCCACCTGCTGATAAGGCCGACAAGATAGAAGTCTTTGTGCATTGTATTAAATACAAAGGCCCAACACAAGATGGGTCATGCACAAGATTTTAGTCAGACCAAGCTATAACATTATATATTTACTACGACAGCTTCCAGAGTGAATTTACGAACGCTCAACAGTCGGTGGATATGGCTGGTGTCAGTAAACGTCGGCAAAAAAACTTAATTAAATTGTTACCAGCAGCACAGTTACCAACGCTCTGGATAACATGAAAACAGCCTAAACAGCTCTGCAAGGGCGAGTAAACCGGTCAGAGCGAGGTGTTCTCTCATTTGTGTCAGGAATTAGCTAGCCAACGTTAGCCAGTTAGTTTGGGTGCTTGACTGCCGTTGTGAGGTCAGAACGCTCGGATCAACCCTACTCCTCGGCCAGAGCGTCCAGTGTGCACTCTGGCACTCCAGATTGAATTTACGAACACACCCTAGGATGTGCCAGATTATATTTCGAGAAAATGAACAGCTAAGGAAGAATTGTTCACTCCTCTCATTGATATCTCGGAGTAATAACATGTTCAACTAGTTAAGACATTGTCTCGAATATAGGATGTGCTCTTAGATTTCGAGAAAATGAACAGCTAAGGAAGATGTTTTACTTCTCTCATTGATTTCTCAACCACCAAAGCCCGGTATGATCTGCTTCGCAAGCGTTCCCGGAAGTCTCTCGATGTTGCGTCTCTGGGTTTAGAAACTCTGTGTTTACTTGTTACAAACTACACCCGGATAGCTTCGAGGATCTGTTGTCATAGCGACGAATGGACGCTGTGGCTGGCTCAGATGGAATCGTGAGTTAGCTTCCTAGCTAAACTCAATCGAACTTGAGCTAATAAGGTGATAGCCAAATAAGTATTAACTCTTTACATTATATAGATAAAATAGAAGACAATGTATTGTCATGCAATGTAGATTTTCAACTATGGCTAGGCTTGGCGCTTGAGCTGTTTTGCTAAATACTGAAGTTGCAAATAACGTTAGCTGACGTTACAGTAGCCGCTTGATTGCATTGCATGTTTCGGTAAACTACACAAAATCCCTCTCTCGACATTATGGCGGAGACTCGTGTCATTCCAAGTGGGAAAGTCTACCGCCAGATGTTTGACGCCCAGGTAGGCTATAGGTTGTTTATTGATATCAAATGCTAAATGTGATTTCCTCTTTAAAACGTTTCGTACTGTCTATGTTGTTGCACGTTAAAGCATGGCATCAATTTTATCCTCAGGTTCAGCTGTCAAGGTCTCTACATGATACTCGGAGGAAACGTGAGACTAATGAAGGATTCTTACCAAGGGACAACCCTCCACTTAGTAGGGACACAGACACTGGTCTGCAGCAGCGGATTAGAGCTCATCAGGCTGAAACCCACCAATGCTCAGAGGAAATGGCTGTTAGGTACAGGCACTGTGGAATACAAATTGCATCCTTCTTGCATACTCAGAACACATTCCCCACTGGGCACAGACGTAAATTCAACGTCTATTCCACGTTGGTTCAACATAATTTCATTTAAATTACATTGAAACAACAAATCAAATCAAATCACATTTTATTGCTCACATACACGTGTTTAGCAGATGTTATTGCGGGTGTAGTGAAATTCTTGTGCAGTGCAGTAATATCTAACAAGTAATATCAAACAATTGCACATTGATTCAACCAGTGTGTGCCCAGTGGGTCATCGCTTATTGTCATTATGCAATATGCATGTACTTTTGAAGGGGGTGTCTGAGTCTATCTGACCCTGTTTGACACCACAGGGACCAACTGTTCTCAGGCATCAAGCATTGCCAGACGAGTGAGGAGCAGCTTGTTGAGGAGGAGATCCGTGGACTACCTGACCATGTTGGCAAGTAGCACACTAAAGTTTTGCGAGCTTAAACATTGTAAGGGTGAGGAGCAGCTTGTTGAGGAGGAGATCCGGGGACTACCTGACCATGTTGGCAAGTAGCACACTAACGTTTTTCGAGCTGTTTAAACTTGCCAACATGGTCAGGTAGTCCACGGATCTCCTCCTCAACAAGCTGCTCCTCACTCGTGATGAGTGATGGTAGGTGAATGCAGACTTGTGCTTGTTTTGCCTGAGGTTATTGATCCATTCCATCTTATCTCCGCAGTGGCAGAAAAACCAGGCTCAGACATCATTGACCGCCTGATGGAGAAAAAGCAGAGGAACCACCTAGAGGCTATGGCAGAGTTGCACAGGGACCTTTCTGTGCTCAGTGTGGTAGGCACCTCATATTCACTACAGTACCAAGTTTGAATTTATATATTGAAGCAGTCATAGGCATAGTATAATTTAAAAACAAGTTTATTAGTTACTTGAAGTTAGTACAATACAATTTTGAGGTATTTTATAATATTTATAATTGTAGTAGTTTAGAAGTGACACAATGCCTTATTGCTCGCAGGAGTATGAGACATTATTCAGGCAAACTGGGCAAGAGGTGCTGCACCAACTCTCAGTGTACGATGGCAATGTGGAGAGACAAATGCAGAGGATTGAAAATATTTCTGATTTGGAGAAGTTCACCTTACAGGTCAGAATAGCCTTAAATGGCTTCTCTTTACATGGCATCAATACAATAAATAACCAGCAACAATAATTTGAATTATCACAACTTCTCTTACAGGAACTTCATGAGTTCTGGGATACAGTGAAACAAGAGTCAGTGATGAGGAGGAAGTGGATCAAGGATCTGGATGATACACTGGCTAAGTATGAGTCTGACAGAACAGCCATGGTGAGTCTTATACAACAGTACTATAAATATTCACTATGGAAGTTACTTGATATTGTTCTTGACATTGTTCTATTGGTGTCCAGATTGCAGCATTGCTGAGAAAATACACAGGGAAACTGGAAAAAATCTGCTACGTAATGCCCTCGGATATCCACCGACTGATCAATAGAGAAGCCATGGTAGGATGTTCTTGGTGCATTATCATCAAGGTAGTGTAGAAATGACACTAACTGCAGTGCATGGAGACACTCATGTCGCCTCCCTCTGCAGATGATAAACCAGGCTATTCTGGCAAATAGACGAGCAGTGGCCAAGCTCTACCTGAACCTGATGGAGAATGATCTACAGAAGCAGGTATTCCACCGACTCAGATGGGAGGACAAGCTGCAAGACTGGAAGAGGTTTAAGGTCCTTGGTGTGGTCAGCAGGTTCAAGTAGGTTGTTTCTTCAGTGTTCAACAAATTAATTCATCTCTTCCGTGGAAAATCTAGTAGGCTATTCTCTGGCTTTAACTTTGACTACCAAAAAAGTCTGCGTCCTTATATTTTAGTTGTGGTATTTAGTGTTGTTATAATTGCTGGTTAACTTCTAAATCCCATCAACCTTTTGCCATTAGAGATTTCATGGGAAGCCCTCCAATCCAGTGTCCCAAGGACGTACAAGCTATTCTGGACACCATGCGTGCAGCACAGCAATCTTTTCGAGAAAGACGCATCAAAATTCTTCAGTCACTCACGTAAGTGAGCAGGCAATATCCACTTTTTGTGGGACAAGTCAGTGTGTCACACTTAGGGATACATTAGACAGAAATGACGACAACGATTGATTCGTTGTGTGTGGGTTTATTTGTAGTGCCATGATACCTCCAAGATGTTCAAAGACTCTAATCACTGAGTGGTATAACTCTTTGTCATCTGTCAACGAGCAAATTGGTGAGCAAATCCTTGTTCTATACTATCTTATACTGTCTTATACTGTTCTATACTGTCTTATACTGTTCTATACTGTTCTATACTGTCTTATACTGTTCTATACTGTCTTATACTGTTCTATACTGTCTTATACTGTCTTATACTGTTCTATACTGTCTTATACTGTTCTATACTGTCTTACTATTATGTTTATATGCAAGTTTTGTGTTTTACATTTCTATGTTTCCTCAGATTGTATGCACATTGATTCAATGAGGAAGCTACATTCCTATTATGAAAATACCTGGCAAGAATGCCTAACTGAGGTAGAACAAGTCAAGGTACATATCAGTCATGCTTTTCTTTTCCACCTTTTAGATCATCTTATTTAAAGCCCATCTAGGGACTGATTCTGGAAATTAGCACAAGCTAAAGCATGATGGTGCAATGCACCTGACTCTTGATCATTCATTGTGTCAATGTTTTAATTGTAAATTATTATTATATTATCTTTGAATTATAAATATTTCTCATTTAATTTCCATGTCAAAGTCACATTTTCCTTTTCATTTGTTTACTTAGAAAGAGATTACTACATATGGGGTTTCTCCAGAAGAGATCCAGGACATTGTTAATGCTGAGTTCCTGCCTCTGATTGGGAAATGCCAGAGCCAGACCGAGGAGCGCCATGCCGCCATGGATGTAAGTCCTGGGAAAAGAGAAAGTCAACAACAGCAGTGTAATTTTCATTCATCCTGTTAAAGGTTGGTGTTCCATAATGCCCTGACTTTCCGTCTCTTACCCCAGAGAGCGTTTGAGTCTTTGGCCAAGAGAGCTGCTGTGCTAAGTAAGTCCCTTTTCAAATTCACACGTGGGGCATCTCACCTGTGGGAGGTGCACAGTGCTGGGCTGCAGAGGAGGGAGCAGCAGCTGCAGGACCAGCTGGACGAGGTGCGCTACAGTCAGGAGCATGAAATCCAGGTGAGCCTCACTCCCAGTCCCCACCACCAGCCCCCCCAGCACTGCCCTGTCACCAGAAGGACCAATGATACTGATAGCAGAACAAGGTCCCCTGATAACTCCCACTGGTGTCTGTTTTCCAGAAGAAGGAGGCTCATCTCGATGTTATATTGGACAGACTGAGACAGGAGAGCACTGAAGAGGCACTCAAAATCACGCTGGAGAAGACTCTACACTCCCTGGATGAAATAAAACTTGTGTAGGCTACTATTGGTTGTTTTTCCAGAAATATAATAGTATTTCTCTACAGAAGGAGTTTTTTCCTATCCTGGTCCCAGTACTGTATGTGCTATGTAGCCAACCTCACATACAGGATAGGCGTTTCCTATAGCTGTTGTATGATTTCCCTAGATACATGCACTCCTACAAAGAAGAGGTGGACACAGTGGAGAGTTATCCTGCCATGGTCTTGGAGGAGCTGCACTCTTACAGCTCTGCTGTCAGTCGATTCTTCAACGTCAAGGAGATATATACTGGTAGTCAGGTACGGATTTAAGATGTAAAGCAAGCCACTATTACTATAAAGATTAGCCTTGTACAGACGATTTCTTCATCACGTTAAGGGTCTGTCCTTTAACCACAGGACTCGGAGGAACTTCGCTCTCTTTATCCTGTCATAAACCTTGGTGAGTTGGATATTGTCCTTTAGCAGCAGTCGCTTTCAATGGTGTGACATTGCTTCAGGATCCTATGTATGAGTGGACATTTGTGTGATGGTGGATCAATAGATTTAACTGGGAGGGCCAGTGTGAAGAGGACAAGACAGATCACTGCACAGGGAAGGAAACGTTGTCCGGGAGGATTCCAGAAAAGTCCAAATCCAGCACATTCATCCTTTGATGAATTTGACACTGAGGTACAAATCCATGCAAAAACACACACTTTTATTTTACCATGGCAGTGTAGGCATGAAATATAAATTGTTTGTCCTTGCTGTAGGATGACATTGATTCCCATCGGGAGTTTCTTGACTCTCAGTCCAGTGAGACATTCTGCACCTCTAAAGGCAATGTGTACAACGGCCAGAGCTTTGTCTCGGACACGGAGCAGGATTCCATTCCATCTGAGATGGAGTTGGTTGTGTTCCCCAGAAGTCTCCTTGCGGATCTACAAAAAGAGTACAGGCCTGGATAAAACAATTTATCTGTAGTACAAGTCATTATTTACTGTTGAAGGAGAGCCTCTTTCTGAACAATGGTCCTCTTTCCTTTTAGTATACGTCTGTTGTTTTTCAATCACCTCGAAGAGAGATATCAGACGGCTCTGACCAACACTATGAATATTGTGGCAGCCAAGAAGGAGGCGCTGAAGTCGGAGCAGGATCTCCGACTGCACCTCCACCAACCACGGGCTAAGAGAATCGAGGTGGACATCCACAATGTCCGTGCTGGTGAGAAGATTAACCCTCCACTCAAAATAAACAGTCCTCACCGTAGTTTATTGTAAATGAATTTACATTTGTCTGTCTGTCTGCCCTATTTAGCGGAACTGGTACTGCACAGAGATCGTGTGGATAGGCACTGTAAAGGCATCTTGCAGGCCCTTGGCAACTGCCGAACGGACTTCCACGAACTCCAGATTCGACAGCACAAACTGACTGAGGACTTCAGATCCCAGATTTACAGCATGGAGGATGTCTTTACCTATGCCACCAAGTCAGACGTGTAAGGACATTTGTGGTTATCTAACAGAACGTTTAGAACATCCAGTTACGTGCGGTAATGATGACCCATGTTGCTCTTTTTCTTCTTCTTTGTCATTGCATCACTGCTTGTCTCTGTCCTCAGGCTGGTTGGCCTATGTGGTACCCTGCAATCCAATTTGGAGAGCCACATGAACATCATTCAGGCATCACAGAGAAACTTCAGACAGACTCTGGAGTCCAAGCTGGATGGCCTAAGAGAGACCAACGTCCAGTTAATCAAATCCTTTAAGTATGAGTTGTTCCTCTATCCTGAGTTGTTCCTCTATACTTTTGTAATAGGGTGTCACAAAGTATGGATTATTTGGTAAAATATGGCCTTTATGCCTGCAGGCTGTTCTCAGATGGAGGGAACTTCACACCCAAAGAGATAGAGGCGCATCACAAACGGATTGAGAAAATGGTTAAACGTATCGACACCAATGATGAGGCCATAATGCTGGATATGGAGGGGACAGAGTCCAAGTGTCTGGAGCTGGTATGAACTTTAACTAAGCCCAAAGGAAAGTCACATTACATGCATTTGTTTTCAGCCAGATTATTTCAGTGTTACATATTTGTACTGAGCTTTGCCATACCAATGTTGCATTTCCCCCTTAGGCGAAGGATGTGATAAACAGATTTGAGGAGAAATTCCACTTTTTGACAGTGGATTTGAAGTTTCTGGAGAAAATCCAAGGAATGCTAACAAATACACAGGTTCAGATAAAAACGGAGGTACATTATTATATCTGGTCTGCCCGCCTCTCATGATGGCTCTCTTGTTTACCTTCTTGCATCCCTCTCTTGCCATTACTCATATCTTAACTTACACCCACAGGTCAAAATGTGTCTGTTTCTCTTTTACAGGCAACAAAGAGTAACATGCAAAAGAAGAAAATCAACAGCCTCCTGACCGAGTTAAAAAGTATGGTAGATACTTGTGCCAGAAGCAGTCCAGAAAAGGTACTAAACTCAATCAAAATGTGTGCTGATTGATTTATGTTTTTCTCTTGTAAAAGACTACTAGACAGAGCCTCACACGTTATTTTTTTATCTTTTTTTGTTTTCGCATTAATAACAGCATATTTGTACTAATTGTCCTAATATACGTTCATTCATTTTCCCTCTTGTAGACAGTGACGACAGATTATGTTTTCACCTTTACATGGTCTATAATAGAGGAATTGAGGGCACGATGCCATTATCTTGAATGCTTTTTGGTAAGTCTGTTGCAATGGATTTAAACTCTTATATATAAACATACATAAAGACAGCTTACCCAAAAACACATTGTTGTATGAGAAATGGACTGTAGCGGATTTTACTATGTTGTTGTTGATCCATAGTTTTTATTGTTGCATTGACAATGACTGAGGTCCAGCTAGGGTTCAATGCAGTGTGTTTTGTGTGCAGAACCCTTCCATGGCAGTCCTGATGCCTGAATGCCCTCTCCAGGGGCCCTTTGCTGTAGCGGCACGCCCCAAGTCCCGCAAGTCAGCCAGCCCTGCCACGGACGGCCTGCTCCAGCCCAGCCGCATGGGGGTGTCCTTCATGGATGATGTGGCCGTGGGGGTCATCAGGGGACTGCTGAGGTCAGAGAGAAGCTCACACAGCCTCTAATAATAAAATCTGTAACTCTGTTTATAAGGCCATAGAGAATCATGTTCATGCAGACAGTATTAATTTATGATAGTGGCTGTCAGAACTCCCTGGTCAAAGAGGAGATGTATTAAGTCCAAATATGGCCAATTTAATGACTGATCTTTTACATGAGAAATGCAGTGAAAAGCAGAACTGACATTCTCTGATGATTCCTCAGGCTAAGCAAGCCTAAAGTCACCCAGGAAGCCAATTCAGAGTCGACAGAGAGGGTCTCAGCAGCAGTCACAGGTACCAGCCATGTTGGCTTACAATGATGTCACCCACTTCAGAGGAAGATGGAATTCAATCTAGCCAATAAGAACTAGCCTGGTGCCCAGACTCTGAGCCATATTGCTGTTTGTACTTAGCTATGCTAACGTACTATGTGGTCTGTTTGGCTCCCAGGCTAGCCAAGAACAAATGCAAAAAAAGTAATACTGGTGGAAGTAAGATGTAATGTTTTGTCCCTCTGTGCTCTCTGTAGTCAGGTTGTCGTCTCCTATTGGGCAGAGGTCAGGGGATTCTGCCGAATCTGTCAGTGCACAAAGGTCAGAGGGAACCTTTTCATGTCGTTATCACTGGGGCACAATCATGCAGAAATCACTTGTAGTAACAGTAGAGTTACTGTATAGCTTATTAATAGATTAGTATTGCTGGTCAGTTTACATGGAGACCTAAGCACTCTCATCTATTTATTTTATAGTGTGAAGAGGTTTTCCAAACCCACTCGCTTTGACAAGAGATTCCAGGTGTTTGGTCCCAAACCAGAGATGCATGGCGTGTGAGTAGTCCCTTAAAGCACAGCAGCATGCCCTACTGAGATCAATGCTTTGCACATCAATACTGATTTCAATTCTCTCACTGCTGAAGATAACATCTGTCATTCTTTCAGAACTGCCTTCAAAAGTTTGATAAACGGCATTCTTTGGAAGACCAATGATATTCTTCTCCTGGTTGCTGAGGTAACAGCTCCTTCTTTATAATCTGCAGTTAAACCCAATATTGCCATGTGTCTTTTGATCCTATGTTATTTGTAGTAAGTCTAATATTCACATTATTCAAAATCTTCCCAATGTTAATTGCCAGTAACACTAATTTAATTGTGTGTGGCGATCAGGAGTTCTATAAGAAGAAGGAACGCCGGCCTATCACAAGGCCTCAGTACCTCCAGGAGACGTTTGAACAATGTGCAGAGGAGATGAACAAAAGGCTGCTCATCTACCAGAGCCAAACTCAGGACTACCACAACAACTGTCTGCAAGGTTAGCATGGACTTTTGCATTTCCATCGATTGGATACAGTTGAGGCACATTTTGTATTTCAAAGCACATTTTCTCACCCTTCCTCTCCCTCCTGTCACGTGTTCCCTAACTTTGGATAGAATTCCGACAGCAGCTGAAGGACATTGAGGAGTGTCTTTCCAAGGTGCCAGGGGTGCTGATCTCTAACCTGGGAGAACAACACCTGGAGAGCCTGAGCCAAGACACGGACAACATCCGTCAACAGCTAGGCAACAGTCTGGAGGAGAGCGAGGGGAGAAAGGTACTGTGGCCCTGTTTGAATACTCTTCTTTCGGTCTTTCCTTGAGGAAATCTCTGATCTGACAAGGTAAGATTGGTGAAAGCAATAGAGTGGAAACCATGGGCTGGATTCAATCCGCATCGCCGAAGGTCCGCCTTCAAATTTAAAGGCAATTTCTGATTGAGCCGACATATGCAGCATTTACAGTGAATGCAGTCTCTGCGACCGTGGGAACATTGTCTTTAACTGTCAATCGCGCTATATAGAAGACCTTCAGTGCGGATTGAATAGAGCCACATGTCTTCATCTATTCACTCATAAATCAGTAATTATCTCAAGGGAGGAAAGATGCATTATAAAATATATTCCAACAGAGCCTATGAAAGCACATTGCTACACCTAAAGCTGGTAGGACTGGGGGTGGAAGTCAGTCATACTAGTGAATATCCTGGTGTGGAAAGGCATTCATGTCTGTAACTTGTCCTTTCAGAAAAAGCACAGTGGCAAGCTGAGTGTGCGTCTGAGCCATCCTGCTTGTGAGAAAGAGCTGGAGGCCTTGAATCGTGCTGAAGAGGAGAGACAAAGAGAGCTGACCAATGCCATCACGAACACTCTGCAAGAGCTACAAGTAAGCACCGACCATACAGTGCCTTGCAAAAGTATTCATCCCCCTTGGCGTTTTTCCTATTTTGTTACATTACAACCTGTAATTTGTAGCTCAGTTGGTAGAGCATGGCGTTTGCAACGCCAGGGTTGTGGGTTCGATTCCCACGGGGGGTATGAAAAAATAATAATAATAAAAAATAATGTATGCACTCACTAACTAAGTCACTCTGGATAAGAGCGTCTGCTAAATGACTAAAATGTAAATGTAATTTAAATTGATTTTATTTGGATTTCATGTAATGGACATACACAAAATAGTCCAAATTGGTGAAGTGAAATGAAAAAAATAACTTGTTTCAAAAAATTCGAAAAAATAAATAACGGAAAAGTGGTGCGTGCATATGTATTCACCCCCTTTGCTATGAAGCCCCTAAATAAGATCTGGTGCAACCAATTACCTTCAGAAGTCACATAATTAGTTAAATAAAGTCCACCTGTGTGCAATCTAAGTGTCACATGATCTCTAACATGATCTCAGAATATATACACCTGTTCTGAAAGGCCCCAGAGTCTGCAACACCACTAAGCAGGCGGCTCCACCAAACAAGCGGCACCATGAAGACCAAGGAGCTCTCCAAACAGGTCAGGGACAAAGTTGTGGAGAAGTACAGATCAGGGTTGGGTTATAAAAATATATCAGAAACTTTGAACATCCCACGGAGCACCATTAAATCCATTATTAAAAAATGGAAAGAATATGGCACCACAACAAACCTGCCAAGAGGGGGCCGCCCACCAAAACTCACGGACCAGGCAAGGAGGGCATTAATCATAGAGGCAACAAAGAGAACAAAGATAACCCTGAAGGAGCTGCAAAGCTCCACAGCGGAGATTGGAGTATCTGTCCATAGGACCACTTTAAGCCGTACACTCCACAGAGCTGGGCTTTACGGAAGAGTGGCCAGAAAAAAGCCATTGCTTTTTTAAATAAGCAAACACGTTTGATGTTCACCAAAAGGCATGTGGGAGACTCCCCAAACATATCGAAGAAGGTACTCTGGTCAGATGAGACAAAAATTGAGCTTTTTGGCCATCAAGGAAAATGCTATGTCTGGCGCAAACCCAACACCTCTCATCACCCTGAGAACACCAATGTTTTTCATTGGCAGGGACTGGGAAACGGGTCAGAATTGAAGGAAAGATGGATGGCGCTAAATACAGGGACATTCTTGAGGGAAACCTTTTTCAGTCTTCCAGAGATCTGAGACTGGGATAGAGGTTCACCTTCCAGCAGGACAATGACCCTAAGCATACTGCTAAAGCAACACTCGAGTGGTTTAAGGGGAAACATTTAAATGTCTTGGAATGGCCTAGTCAAAGCCCAGACCTCAATCCAATTGAGAATCTGTGGTATGACTGAAAGATTACTGTACACCAGCGGAACCCATCCAATTTGAAGGAGCTGGAGCAGTTTTGCCTTGAAGAATGGGCAAAAATCCCAGTGGCTAGATGTGCCAAGCTTATAGAGACATACCCAAAGAGACTTGCAGCTGTAATTGCTGCAAAAGTTGGCTCTACAAAGTATTGACTTTGGGGGGGGTGAATAGTTATGCACACTCAAGTTCTCAGTTTTCTTGTCTTATTTCTTGTTTGTTTCACCCCAAAAAATATTTTGCATCTTCAAAGTGGTAGGCATGTTGTGTAAATCAAATGATACAAACCCCCCAAAAAATCTATTTTAATTCCAGGTTGTAAGGCAACAAAATAGGAAAAATGCCAAGGGGGGTGAATACTTTCGCAAGCCAGGAAAAATGCCAAGGGGGGTGAATACTTTCGCAAGCCACTGTATCCACATCTGTTTTCACCTCATCAGCAGTAGGGAGTTGGCAGTTCGGTGGCTGTGAGTCTCATGGATGCACATTATTATTCATTTTGTGGATTTCAGGCATGTGTGAGGAAACATGGGGAGGAGTTTGTGAGAGCACTCACCTCTCTGACAGAGAACCTGCTGTTCCAGATGGACAACCTCCTGACCGTAGATGAGGTCCAAGTTGGCCGTAAGTCTCCATCCATCCTCATTTTACATTTTAGTCATTTAGCAGACGCTCTTATCCAGAGGGACTTACAGGAGCAATTAGGGTTAAGTGCCTTGCTCAAGGGCACATCGACAGATGTTTCACCTATTCGGATCGGGGACTAGAACCAGCGACCTTTCGGTTACTGGCACAACGCTCTTAACCACTAAGCTACCTGCCGTCCTCGCAAGCCTTGTTGATTTAAAAGTGAAAATAACAGCCTTCCGTTTGATCTGATCTGGATTGTAGAAGCTGAAATGAAGAGCGAAAATGTCACCACTCTAATTGGCCCAAAACAAGCTGGCACGCCGCTAAAGGAGAAGCAGAGAGGCAGCAGGTAAACACAGACAGGGAGTGAAAAGCACAAGATGGTGGTACAGTAAAGACTGCAGTAATATTTTCATATAGTGCACCTCTTTTATTATTTGTTTAAATAAATATGATTAATACAGTCCTAGAAATGTAACCATATATGACATTTTATGTGGTAGAACGTGGCCAGGAATCTCTTACTTTGGATCCAGTGCTGACGGTCCAGTGGAGCAACCATGCAAGGAAACAGCCTCCATCACCACTGCCAAGACCACCGTAGGCCACCTGAGAGCAGTGGAGGCCCGTGACTCTATGTACCAGGTAGGAGGCTAAGTCATTAACCTCAGACATGTGAGCAGACATACTGTGAGGGAAAAAAGTATTTGATCCTCTGCTGATTTTGTACGTTTGCCCACTGACAAAGAAATGATCAGTCTATAATTTTAATGGTTGGTTTATTTGAACAGTGAGAGACAGAATAACAACAACAAAATCCAGAAAAACGCATGTCAAAAATGTTATAAATTGATTTGCATTTTAAGGAGGGAAATAAGTATTTGACCCCCTCTCAATCAGAAAGATTTCTGGCTCCCAGGTGTCTTTTATACAGGTAACGAGCTGCGATTAGGAGCACACTCTTAAAGGGAGTGCTCCTAATCTCAGTTTGTTACCTGTATAAAAGATACCTGTCCACAGAAGCAATCAATCAATCAGATTCCAAACTCTCCACCATGGCCAAGACCAAAGAGCTCTCCAAGGATGTCAGAGACAAGATTGTAGACCTACACAAGGCTGGAATGGGCTACAAAACCATCGCCAAGCAGCTTGGTGAGAAGGTGACAACAGTTGTTGCGATTATTCGCAAATGGAAGAAACACAAAAGAACTGTCAATCTCCCTCTGCCTGGGGCTCCATGCAAGATCTCACCTCGTGGAGTTGCAATGATCATGAGAACGGTGAGGAATCAGCCCAGAACTACACGGGAGGATCTTGTCAATGATCTCAAGGCAGCTGGGACCATAGTCACCAAGAAAACAATTGGTAACACACTACGCCGTGAAGGACTGAAATCCTGCAGCGCCCGCAAGGTCCCCCTGCTCAAGAAAGCACACATACAGGGCCATCTGAAGTTTGCCAGTGAACATCTGAATGATTCAGAGGAGAACTGGGTGAAAGTGTTGTGGTCAGATGAGACCAGAATCGAGCTCTTTGGCATCAACTCAACTCGCCGTGTTTGGAGGAGGAGGAATGCTGCCTATGACCCCAAGAACACCATCCCCACCGTCAAACATGAAGGTGGAAACATTATGCTTTGGGGGTGTTTTTCTGCTAAGGGGACGGGACAACTTCACCGCATCAAAGGGACGATAGACGGGGCCATGTACTGTCAAATCTTGGGTGAGAACCTCCTTCCCTCAGCCAGGGCATTGAAAATGGGTCGTGGATGGGTATTCCAGTATGACAATGAGTGGCTCAAGAAGAAGCACATTAAGGTCCTGGAGTGGCCTAGCCAGTCTCCAGACCTTAATCCCATAGAAAATCTGTGGAGGGAGCTGAAGGTTTGAGTTGCCAAACGTCAACCTCGAAACCTTAATGACTTGGAGAAGATCTGCAAAGAGGAGTGGAACAAAATCCCTCCTGAGATGTGTGCAAACCTGGTGGCCAACTACAAGAAACGTCTGACCTCTGTGATTGCCAACAAGGGTTTTGCCACCAAGTACTAAGTGGGGTCAAATACTTATTTCCCTCATTAAAATGCAAATCAATTAATAACATTTTTGACATGCGTTTTTCTGGATTTTTTTGTTGTTATTCTGTCTCTCACTGTTCAAATAAACCTACCATTAAAATTATAGACTGATCATGTCTTTGTCAGTGGGCAAACGTACAAAATCAGCAGGGGATCAAATACTTTTTCCCCTCACTGTACACAGAGGCTAGCTATAATACATAGAATTACATATTAGAATGTTCAATTAAATAGGATGTCTGTTGTAATATGTGTGTTTGGTTTGGGGCCCACAGCACTATGAGCAGCGGTACAGGGAGGAGCTGGGCCGGGCCATGCAGGAGAGCCATGTCCAGAGGACGGAGGTGCAGTGCTGGGAGGAACACTGGAGAGGTTTACTGAACACTCTGACCCAGCTCAACGCTGAGTGAGCACCTAGCAACTCTGCACCGGAGCTCACCGTTTTCTACTGCAGCACTAGACTAGATTAAAATTAAATTTCCTGTGACAAACAAATTCATGGTTTGCATTTTTCTTTCTCTGTTCCTGGAGTGGCGCAGGTACTACAGGATGTTGTTCTAACTAAGCACGACACCTGACCAACTGAGCTAATTGATCAGTTCAGTGATTTACTAAATTCAACACACCTGGTCTTCCAGGTGATGAAGTGCCTGCAGCACTCCAGGACCAGGATTGCCTACCCCTGGTCTATTAACTAATTTAACCAAAACTCCATCCCACCAAAACAGGCTGAAATTTCAGGCGATCTTTTCAAACAGCTCTTACACTAAAAGGTCATTATCATCGTTATCACAATTTCACAGTATTATTCCAATCTCAGTAGCTAGGTTTCCATCCAATTGGCGACAGATTTTCATGCGAATATTCAAAAATCTGCATGCGAATATTCAAAAATCTGCATCAAGTAAATGGGCGCATTTTTCTACAAATGGTGTGTTTCCACCAAACTGACTTGTTGCAGATAAAAGTAATTGCATGATGACAGTGCACACAAAAATGTACTTTTTCGCTTAAGTTTTCACGTACAGAATACAAATCCAAAGTTCAATGTGTTTCCATTGCATTTTCAGGTCTACCGATAGTTTTGTCACAAAAACTGTTGTGTTAAATAGCAAATGTGCCCACTCTGGTCTTGAAACGTGCCCTCTAGCCAACAGCTAGCAGATACAGTGCGGGTAGGCTGCTGTACATGATGAGATTATTATGGATAAGAGTGAGAATATTTTTATTTGTAAAACGGCAGTCGAGCATCATGTCACCAGAATAAGACCCTCAATATTTATTGGAAAGGAGCATCACCCTGTGAAGTGCATAGTAACTTATTTAATCTGTAGCCTAATAAACTGCATAGTTTCTCAAGTCATAGTGGGAGGACCACACACCATATCATTGCATGACTCCAAGTTTACTTCGATATGATGGTTGTTATATCAATATTTGTGCATAATTAATTTATTTTACAGACACAAAAAGATTCCTCCATGTCAAATGAACAAATTATCTGTGGGTATTTATAAAATTGTACCGAAACTACCTGTTTCCATCACAGCTGTAGTAAAAATATGTTTTATATGGTATGACTTTAAGCGCATAAAAACTGTGCATGGAAAGGTGGTTTGTGTGAGAAAAAAACAATTTTTTTTTTTGTTTTGGACTGCACTTGGCCTTTAAAAAGTGGTTCATCACAGTGAAAAAATCTCAGTAAATGATAGTGAAAAATAAGTGTAAACATTTCATGGTTTTCACATTGACCGGCGCTGTAGAAGTGAGACATTTTCAAGATGTCCCTCTAAGATTCAAACAGTTTTTTGACCCAAAGTTCTCTTATCCCATGTAGATGAACTTGCCGATAAAATCATGCTCATCCATTCTACCTTAAAACACAACAACATGTTAATAAGAGAAAGGCCTTGCTTTGGAACTGTTAGTCTCTGCCTTATTCCTTCAGGGCCTTTCTGCCCTGTGCAAATGTACGGCTTCGCCTCTCCCCAGCCGGTGTGATTGCATGGTTTACATTTTACATTTTAGTCATTTAGCAGACGCTCTTATCCAGAGCGACTTCCAGTTAAGACTTAACGTCTGCGATACAGAATGTCCCAACTGTCCCTCTAGTGCAGTGAGGCCAGCTCCATAAAGAGCATGCCAGTGAGAAGCACACCTAGAGAGAGGGGAGAATGCTTTAAAGATTAAGACCACTGTCATGTGAAAGGCAACAGTGTGACGTGATTCAATCCCAACCCGAGGTGTGCCACTGGTGCTCACCGCAGCATGTGTGTGTGCAGGTGCTCCAGAACCACAGAGATCAGCAGGAGTTGGAAGGTGAGCGCTGGCAGGTAGTGGTACAGGAACAGTGTCTTCTCCATCATGAAAGAGGGCAGGTAGTTGACTGGACAACAAAGTCATGTTTAAACATGGTGCGTGTCAAAGTGTCACTTTTTGCAATGTGTCAACATTATGTTAGTGTTTACATATTGCATGTGGATTCCAGTTTCTGTGACAGATTATAAATAATCTCTGATGCCTTTGTTATATTAGCTTTTGGTTGAATGTACTGTCGTAGTAAATATATAATGTTATAGCTTGGTCTGACTAAAATCTTGTGCATGACCCATTTTGTGTTGGGCGTTTGTTTTCAATCAATGCTGTTCCTATCCTATAACAATGGACAAAAGAGTCCTATCTTGTCAGCCTTGTCAGCAGGTGGCCAAGGACAACACCCACGCCATAGGTCTCTCAGTTCTTCCAACTCACGAGTTCTTGCTCTGAGGACACACACACACACACACACATCATCACTGATAACACACACACACACACACATCATCACTGTTAAACACACACACACACACACATCATCACTGTTAAACACACACACACACACACACAAAAATCCCCTCTCTTTAGGCTGAACATTTGAAGACAGAGAACCCGACTCAGAGCCAATGCAACAGTGGAGGGGACCTCGCCCAACTCATCAGGACCAATCAGAAGATCAGAACTACTAGATTCAACCTACATCATTTATTGTATAAAATGTCAGCACACAATGTTTTCGGGGCTCTCTTCAGATAGCTCCCTAAGAGTTTGACGAACGAGTCTGTGCACGCGATTCCAGATATCTTTACCTCTGAATAAACTGCCTTTATTATACCATATCCACCCTGTCCAAAGTCTCTACTTGGTCTCAGTTCTCCAGTAAACTTGTGATTATCAACAGTACACAACGGTAACAAACAATTGGGGGAACTCACAGGGCAGATAGTAAGGTCACAGTGACACAGAAAGCAGTTCAATGTCGGGGCTCGGGGGTACAGAGTCGCTCTCTTACCAGGATCGATTTTCCCTGTGACTGTCAGATCGAGGTCCGCTCCGACCAGGGTGAAGCCGGCCGGCTCCACTTCTCTGTCCGGGACTCTGTCATCCAGCCAAGTCTCCCAGCTGTATTGGATTCCGCTGCCAGCAACGTTTTCATTATTTAGTCCGTTCGTAGCGGGTATGTACACGATCAACAAGATCAGTCCAAAACCCACCACTCGAAATCCATGGTTGGCAGAATGTTTGTAAACTAAGTGTACAAATTAAAAACATAAAATAACGCCACTAAGTGTACAAATTAAAAACATAAAATAACGCCACACTGCAGGTCGCAAAGAGACGCTGCTAGCCGCTATTTGCTTAGTTACGTTCATGGTTACGTCACGTATGACGAAAGCGCGTAAGTGCAAGCCCACAGACACCCATAGAGAATGTATTGAAAGCTTTGAAATTTGAAAAAAATAGATTTTACATGACAGGCTATGAGAGACTTCTGGGCGATTTTCAACCTGACTGAAATCGCCCAAAAACGGGCGGGGCCATTTGAAGCACGACTTTAGCCTGATTTGACATTTAGTGGCAGTCAGATCAGATTACAACACTGATAACTACTGTTGCCGTGATATAATTGATTAGAAAAAAAATCCCTTCCTTTTCCCGTTGGTACTAAAGGTGCATGTACCTTCTGGAACGTCTTCAATTTTCCGTCGCCTCCCTAAGATACGATAGGATAAGAAGGAGGTATATCACAAGGACAAGGTTTTCCAGGGTCCAAGTGACAAAGTTCCCAATCAGGTGGATCTGGACTTGAAACAGGGTAAAGGCTAACACATGGTAGCGCTATAAAACTCAAATGTTAGAATTCATTAATACACACAACTGTTCAAATCTTGGCTGGAGTACAGTAGATATTAGAATATAAAGCTCACTTTTTTTTTAAGGGAGTGAGTGACTGACACAAAGGTTGAAGCAAACCTACATCACTTGTAGGGTGAAGCCAGTATCCAATGTGTGCATTCATAGTGATCCATTCTAGAGGTGAAGAGCTGTACTTGTGTTCAGACTCCTCATGCTTTACCGTCAGCATCTTCCACTGTCAGACCAACACAAAGGAGAGAACATATGACGTCCACCAATGAAACAGCAACAAAAAGCATCGTAGGTATGCCATCCTATTCTTACCTGCAGTTCCAGGAATTTTGCAATGAAGGTGAGGTTGCGGTTGATGTCAATGTGTGTGGGGGAGTGTAGCTCCAGCTCTCTTCTGCCATACTCTCATCATTACACCCACCACACACTAATAATGACACAATGTATAGCATTGATTCAGTTGAGAAGAAGCATGATGTTCAATTGGTAGAGCATGGCGCTTGTAACGCCAGGGTAGTGGGTTCGATCCCCGGGACCACCCATACGTAAAACTGTATGCACACACGACTGTAAGTCGCTTTGGATAATTATTATTATTATGTTGAATAAATGTGTTATGAAGGTTGTTATGAATGATACTGCAACAGATGGGTATTATGACTGGTTTCGTAAAGGTTTTATGAATGCCTTATGTATAACCCATTTAAGTAAAGTGTTACTGAATGTATTTGATGTGTTTGGACAACATACTCCTTCCTTAGCGGTGCTCTTCTACATTCCACACCCCACTGGGCTGGTAGTCAACACCTCACTCAGCTGCACAGTGACAATAAGAGAAATAGGGTTTCAATGTTAGCAGATAGAAGACACTAAGGCCAGGATTCAACCCTGACCACGGAAGATCCGCATTGTAACACAGTTGACATTTAAAGGTAATTTCCGATTAAGCCGACATCTGCAGCGTTTACTTTGAATGTGATTTCTGCGACCGTGGTAACATTGCCTTTAAATGGTGCATAGTCGAAAAGAAGTGATCGGCTTGAATCCCTGCCTAAGAAGACAAATAGTTTGTTAAGAACTCCCCTGGGCTGCCTGAGCATACCTTGATCACAGCCGAGTTGTGGACGTGAATCAAACATACTTCAGACAGAAAAGTCTTCCACACCCCTTGTTCGGCCTCCCTGCTGGCAATGTCCTACAGAAGAACTGTGTTACGACGTCAGTATCTCTCTTGCTGTCTATATACAGTGCTTCCAGAAAGTATTCACACCCCTTGACTTATTCCACATTTTGTTGTGTTACAGCCTGAATTCAAAATTGATTCAATATATTTATTTGCAACCATCTATACACAATAGCCCATAATGACAAAGTGAAAACATGTTTTTAGAAATTTTAGCAAATGTATTAATAATGAAATACATAAATATCTCATTTACGTAAGTATTCACACCCCTGCCCTGAGTCAATACTTTGTAGAAGCACGTTTGGCAGCGATTACAGCTTTGAGTTGTCTTGGGTATGTCTGTATCAGCTTTGCACATCTGCATTTGGAGATTATCTCCCATTCTTCCTTGCAAATTTGTTAAGCTCATAAGTTAAATGGGGGCGGAGCGATGGTGAACAGCAATCTTCAAATCTTTCCACAGGTTTTCAATGGGAATCAAGTCTGGGCTTTGGTTGGGCCACTCAAGGACTTTCACATTCTTGTTCTGAAGCCATTTCCAGCGTTGCTTTGGCTGTATGTTTGGGGTCATTATCCTGTTGGAACGTAAATCTTCTCCCTAGTCTAAGGTCGTTTGCACTCTGAAGCAAGTTCTCATCAAGGATTTGCCTGTATTTGGCTTAGGGCTGACCCCATTTAGTCGACTGGTCGATTGTTTGGTCGATAGGCTGTTGGTCGTCCAATAACTTTTTTGTTGAGCAGTTACAAAAAAACTAAAACATGTAATGGCACATGTCTTGATTGACGCCTGTCTCGGTGGACTAATCCATTGCGGAGGCCATGGGGATGGCACACCAGTATCACCAGTAGTACATTTAACATAATTTCTAATCTACTATGTTTGTTTGGTTACCGTAATTTGTGTTAATGCATTCAATATATTATTATTACAGTCTTTTACAGTTCTCATTGTCGGAGTGGACACGTTGTTTGCAGAGCGCACAACCTAGGCCACACTTGTGAGAAACACGTTTTGGTTTATTTCATTCCATTTACGAGCTTCTCAAAGTAATTTTTTCTTCAACATTTTTCTAAACAAAGTCAGTTTTTTCATCCATTGAGAATGACAATAGTGGAAACGTCATAAAATAGGCCTACCTGATTACTTCTTATCCCTTGCGCAAATAGCCTACAGCTGTGTCTGTCTGGAACTCACTGGCGCAGGAAACTCTGAGGGTCCAGAATATTTTATACAATATTTGTTGCAACTTTGTTAGAGCAAGCTTTGGGCTGGACCAAGTTGATTGTTGATACAATGTTTCAAGTTCCTCGCAGACAGGCCATGTGTAGCCAATGTGATTTATTTATTTTAGGATATTTTCTACCTGCAGGCTGCAATGTTTTAATTTGTTGGCTTTATGTAGGCTATTTTTACATAGTTGGTAATGGCAATAGAAGTTACTTTTAGATTTGTATAATTTTCATTTAGATATAATTTTTATTAATCACATGACAATTATTTTGAGATACAAAGACTTTATTATTTTTTTAAAATGAAACTGTTCCATGAAAATGTGCATATGACAATCATTACTGGCATGCAGATCCGTAGAAATGGTAAGATAAATTGGCACTCCAAATGGAAAAGGTTGCCAACAACTTCGGGAGAGTAATGGCAGAATCTGCGAAGGCCAGCAGCAGTGGGAAGAGGTGGTTCAGGAACAGTTTTTTTTTCTTCTGGTTAGGCTATCTTGATCTCTGGCTCCCTCTTGAGTCATTTGTGTGTAATCACAGTGTGCTTAAAGTAGCTCAGTAGCCTACATACAGTTGACTTTATTAAAACGTAGGGTGTGTCTATATATGGAAAGATACACGTTTAAAAATGGCGATCAGTCGATTGGTCGAAAGAACAGACGACTCTTGGTCGAGCCCTAATTTGGCTCCATTCATTGTTCCCTCTATCCTTACCAGTCTCCCAGTCCCTGCCGCTGATAAGCTGTCACACCATGCTTCACGGTAGGGATGGTGTTAGACGGGTGATGAGATGTGCCTGGTTTTCTCCAGACATAGCCTTTGCATTCAGGTCAAAGAGTTCAATTTTTGTCTCATCAAACCACAGAATATTTGCCTTATGCTCTGTCTTTCACGTGCCTTTTTTCAAACTCCAGGCGTGCTGTCATGTGCCTTTTTCTCAGGAGTGACTTCCGTCTAGGTTCACGGTCTAGAAGCATGGTTGCGACTGCTCGGTAGTCGATTTTAGGGTCTGCTTCGGTTGGAGAGATGCCTTCTGATTGGCTAGACTTGGAAATACCTGGACTGCTTTCAGTTTAATTAAGGTTTTGCTACGTTCCGTGACGATTTGTACTCAACGACAAAGCTCCAAAACGGTGCACACCGTTCTTCAACAGTCTTCAAGGTATATTGGGTAAGTTTTCTCCTGTTTGGTGGGTGTGGTGGGGGTGTGAACAGATATGAATTGTAGTTTTTATGCCCCATCAAATAAACAAACAAAATAAATTGTTTATTTCAATGTTTAAAAAAATATTGCTAACACAAGATTCAAAATGACATTGCCCATTCATAGACGGTAGCCTTATTTTACGAACATATCTGCCATGTGAGGGAAATGCCCCGACGCTCTGACACTCCTCGTTTGCGATCAATTTCTGGAAACATTTGGAAATTTACTTTCATATCAGAGTGAAATTATTTTTCTAATACAAAAGACACATTTACTGTTCGCAGTTTTAGCACAGTTGCAGGTACACAGCTCTGTTTTGAAAAACACATGCTTCAAGCCAAAGCAGGATGATCAAAAGGTCATTAAGTTTTGACTGCAAGTTTTTGCAGTTGCTCTTTACCAACTACATCCAGCAGCCATCGCCTGCATTGTGGGAGGGTTTATTGTCAACCAATCATTAGGTTGATTTTGTTTGACCCACGTGAATGAGGGAGTTCTATTAACCTGAGCCACGGTGCACCGGTCTATGGCCAGTGACGTGAACTGGCAAAAGCGGTGAGGGAGGAGCGCCCTTCTCAAATCGAATAGTAATCTGCGACGCTGGGTCATGCTGTCAACAAGGCAGCATGGTGCATCATCCAGAAACATACACTGAACAAAAATATAAACACAACATGTAAAATGTTGGTCCCATGTTTCATGAGCTGAAATAAAATAAATGTTCTATACACACAAAAAGCTTATTTCTCTAAAATGTGCACACATTTGTTTACATCCCTGTTAGTGAGCATTTCTCCTTTGACAAAGATAATCCATCCACCTGACAGGTGTGGCATATCAAGAAGCTGATTAAACAGTATGATCATTACACAGGTGCACCTTGTGCTGGGGATAATAAAGGGCCACTGAAATATGCAGTTTTGTCACACAATGCCACAGATGTCTCAAGTTTTGAGGGAGCGTGCAATTGGCATTCTGACTGCAGGAATGTCCAACAGAGCTGTTGCCAGATAATTAAATTTTAATTTCTCTACCATAAGCCACCTCCAACGTTGTTTTAGAAAATATGGCAGTACATCCAACTGGCCTAACAACCGCAGAACACGTGTAACCACACCAGCCCAGGACCTCCACATCCAGCTTCTTCACCTGCGGGATCATCTGAGGAGGAAGAGATGGGGTGCTAAGGAGTATTTCTGTCTGTAATAAGGCCCTTTTGTGGGGAAAAACGAATTCTGATTGGCTGGGCCTGGCTCCGCAGTGGGTGGGCCTATACCCTCCCAGGCCCACCCATGGCTGCGCTCCTGCCCAGTCATGTGAAATCCATAGATTAGGGCCTAATTAATTTATTTCAATTGACTGATTTCCTTCTATGAACTGTAACTCAGTAAAATCTTTGAAATTGTTGCATGTTGTGTTTATATTTTTGTTCAGTATATAATGTTTGAATTTTCAAACTAGTATTCATTGGGAAGGCAGATAAAGCGTTTTAATCAAAAGCAATCACTTTTGCATGTGAAAACACAGAATCCTACTAATTACTCCACATGCTTAATCTAGCCTATCTAGGCTTTGCCACTTTTGTTTTGAGCCGACTTCGCCGTGGGATTTGAACGGGGCACCTGGCTCATGCCCGGGAGGCAACCCGGTTCCAAAACGAATGCTATCACTTTTCACCCAGTGCAAACTCCTCCCACCGGGATAACCATGGCCAGATAATCAATCCCCTCATTCTGGCCAAAGACATGACTAAAACAGGAACCAACT